GTTCCTACTATCTCTAATTCTACCACTTATGGTTTTGCGGTTTTACTGTGGTTGAAAGATTTATTAATTCACTACTCTTCCCACTCCACTTTTTGAATGCTGTTAGATCATGTCCGAAACTGTAAAGGAGCCAGGAATAAATAAATGTTGCCAGGCTTCTAATCGTCTCACAAATCTCAAGAACCTCAGCGAAGGTCTAGAGAAATGCCAGAAGAGCCTAAATGACTATCTGGATTCCAAGCGGAATGCTTTCCCAAGGTTTTTCTTCATTTCTGATGATGAATTACTGAGTATACTCGGGAGCAGTGATCCTGAGGCTGTCCAGGAGCACATGATCAAGGTACTTTTGTCTACTGATTTCTTCTCTTAACTTTTCTACTTGTGGGTTACTAATCGACAGAAATTATCTCAGAGATGGAAAGCTTGTGACAGTGACTTATCTGTGACTGTCACAAATAATGGAAAAAAGAAAGCTCAGGGGAAACCTGAAAAGGTCTTTCACATTATAGAAGGATTGGATAAGGTGGATGCAGACATGTTTCCATTGACAAGCAAGGCTGGAATTAGGGAACCGATGTGTAAGATAGTCACTATTAAATCCAATCAGGAATGCAAGAGAAACTTCTTTATCCACACAGTGGTGAGAAGAGAAAAGCTGACCCTTGTGAAATAATTGGAAAGTTCTGTAACTATTTGATAACTTATTAAAATCAGGTTCTGTGAGATGATTAACTGTTTAATGTTTCAGATGTTTGATAACATTGCGTTATTGAGGTTCCAAGTGGGTAATGAGAATGAAACATTGGCAGCAGCAATGATATCTGCTGAAGGGGAGGTAATGGAATTCAGGCAGGCTACGCCTGCCGAGGGACGCGTTGAAGACTGGATGACTGCAGTCCTGGCTGAAATGAGAAAAACAAACCGGCTAATTACAAAAGAAGCAATCTTTCGATACTGTGAGACCATGAGCAGGTAAACACTGTCCAAGACTGCTTTTTAATGTAACTTGTAACAGATTTACTGTAGAGAAACACAGTGTTTGAGGTTAAATCGGACTGTAATAATAGTTGTGGTTTGGGAATTGCATTATTGGATGCATGAACATTCTGAGCTGTGATTCTTGGCCAGTTATATTCTTTGCGTGGGAGCATCTTGAGTTCCATTCCGGGCCATGTTGTGGTGATGACAAGAAGAAAGGATATAGTAGTATTAGGGCAGTTCAAACAAGATTCATTAGGCTGATTCCTGGGATGAATGAGTTGACTAATCAAGAATGGCTAAACAGGTTAAGTATTTATTCATTAGAATTTAGAAGAAGGAGGGGTGATCTTATGGAGACTAAGATTCCGAGGGAGCTTGACAGGGTAGACATTGAGCAGATGCTTCCACTAGTGGGGGAACCTTGGACTAGGGGACATTGTTACAGCGTGAGGGCACACTCATTTAAAACTGGGATATGAAGGAATTTCTTCTCCCACAAGGCAGTGAATGTCTGGAATTCTCTAAGCCAGAGAATTGTGGAGGCTAGAACACTCGAGGAGGTGGATAGATTTTTGACATATTGGGGAGTTGAGGGCTATGAGGAGCTGGTACAAAAGAGGAGCTGAGGCCTGAGGAAGATGGGTCATGATTCTGTTGAATGGAGGGTCAGGCATGAGGGGCCAAGTAGACTACTCTTGCTCCTATTTCTTATGTTCTTATGTAATCTTTGCTGTTGTTTTTATATCTGCTGGTTAAAGGACACCTTTAAATTATTGGGTCCAGAATCTATATCAAGCAGTAATAAGAACAAATAATGTCAAATTCAGAGTAGAAATTGCCCTTTCTGCACAATGTATCTAAACCCCTAACCCCATCTGTTTGGACTAATTACCAAATTGCAATGGGTTTTCCCAAAACATCAGCAAGCCCACAGAGAATTTAAAATATGGATCTGATTCTTGTTACAAATTTAGATTTCCTTTAGTTACCTTTTCACTTTCAGTGATGTACAATTGTGTAATCTATGGGTGTGAAATCCTTTTGCTCTGAAATGGATGCTTGTGTCTTTTTCAGGGGTGCTTTTTCAAATCCCTGGAAGCAGAGGAGCAAATAATTAGACTTCTGAGTTATGAATTGATAAGCTTTATTTCATAGTACAGTGAACATCCAGAATAGCAATTATGCTTGCTTTAAGTCAAACAGTACAAACTGCCTTCACAGATTAATACAAGACTCCAATCTTCTGACCACTCTTGTCAGCCAAAGGCTTTTGTTAAGACTTCCATAAGGCCATCAAACGATGAACGACAGCAGATCAGCAACTAATATAACATTTGGCTTTATTCTTCATTCCCATTTTTGACTCCTGCCCCTGCAGTGTAATCTGAGAGTGCAGTTGGATGGCTGATTTTATTATTTCTGGAATAAGTTATTCATCTCTGAATTGTGAGGATGACTGACTCCTTCAGTGAATAATATGCTTTTCCTATGATCCTCCAGAAATGACTGGATGTTGGTTTTTGAAGGCATGGTTGTCCTTGCTGCAACCCAAGTCTGGTGGACATGGGAGGTTGAAGATGTTTTCCAAAGGGTTAAGAAAGGAGATAAGCAAGCCATGAAGAATTATGCTAAGAAGATGCACCAGCAGATTGATGACTTGGTTACCCGCATCACAAAACCACTGAGCAAGAATGATCGTAAAAAATATAACACTGTGCTTATTATTGATGTACATGCCAGAGACATTGTGGATACATTCGTCAGGGACAGGTAAGGTAGTCAGAAGTTAAATGCCAATATTCATAGTGGGGGTAAATAGGTATTTCCTAGTTGGTGATCAGTGGCTGATGATGTGCCTCAGGGATCAGTGTTTAATTGTTTACTATTTACATAAATATGATTTAGAGTTGTGGACCAAGTGTAGTGTGCAAAGTTCGCAGATGACAGTAAAAATGTGCAAGTGTGCAGAGGACACTGAAAGTCTGTAGAGGGATACAGAGAGGTTAAGCGAATGGATGAGGGTCTGTTAGATGGAATACAATGTTAGTAAATGTGAGGTCATCCATTTTGGTAGGAATAACAGCAAAATGGACTGTTATTTAAATGGTGAAAAATTGCAGCATGCTGCTGTGCAGAGGGACCTGGGTGTCCTTGTGCACGAATCACAAAAAGTTGATTTGCAGGTGCAGCAGGTAATTAAGAAGGCATATTGTTGTTCATTGCTAGAGGGATGGAGTTTAAAAACAGGAAGGTTATACTGCAGCTGTAAAGGGTGCCAGTGAGGCCACACCTAGAGTACTGTGGACAGTTTTGGTCTCCTTACTTGAAAAAGGATGAACTGGCACTGAAGGGGGTGCAGAGGAGGTTTACCAGGTTGATTCAGGAATTGAGAGGGTTGCCTTATGAGAAGAGATTGAGTAGACTGGGTCTGTACTCACTGGAATTTAGAAGTACAAGGGGGTATCTTATAGAAACGTATCAAATTATGAAGGGAATAGATAAGATAGAAGCAGGGAGGTTGTTTCCACTGGCGGGTGAAACTAGAACTAGGGGCGTAGCCTGAAAATAAGGGGGAGCAGATTTAGGACTGAGTTGAGGAGGAATTTCTTCACCCAAAGGGTTGTGAATCTGTGGAAATCCCTGCTCAGTGAAGCAGTTGAGGCTACCTTGTTGTATGTTTTTAAGGTTAAGATAGAAAGATTTTTGAACGGTTAAGGAATTAAGGGTTATGGTGAGGGGGCAGGTAAGTGGATCTGAATCCACGAAAAGATGAGCCATGACCTTATTGGATGGTGGACCATACTCAGTGGGCCAGATGGCCCACTCCTGCTCCTGTTTCTTATGTTATGTTCTTATGTCCTTTACTGGAGTTAAACTGAGGAGTACATGGCCAGGTTTTAATTGTTCCCGCTGTGCTGGTAGAGCGAATTCTTCGCTTTCATTTTTCTTTAACCATATCCTCACACACTTATTGGAACAAGGGCCATTTGGGCTTCAGCTCCTGATTCCAAATCCTCCCCAGCTCCATTATAGGAGCTCAATGTATTCACTTAATCATAAAAAACAGTCAATTATTGATGGAACTCTGTCCCAACACTGGTCAGTGACTTTAGGAGTGGAAGAAGAGATTGGAAAAATAAAACAATTACAACTTGAGGTTAAAGCTATTGATTTTATGTTTTCACTTGCTGGTTAATTTCATGTTTAAAGTAAAGTTGTCATTGTCCCAGAGACCATAGGGCTACTGTCTCATTAGAGAAAGACGACAGGTGGTGAATTTAATCTGAGGGTCACCGCACCTCAGGCAAGCGAAGAGGTTGAGAAGGCAGGACTTCTATGGTAGCCTCAGTTATCTGGCTATCAACACACCTCATTTGCAGTTGATTATTTCAATTGGCTGGATGATTGATTTATGATGCGGAGTGATGCCAATAGCGCAGGTTCAATTCCCACACCAGCTAAGGTTACCACTTTGTGTTTACGATAATGGTTAATATGTACTTTTAATATTAATCAGCATAATGGATGCTCGAGAGTTTGAATGGGAGAGCCAACTTCGCTTCTACTGGGAGCGTGTGCCAGATGAGCTGAGGGTGCATCAGTGTACAGGATCCTTTGACTATGGATATGAATACATGGGTTTGAATGGTCGCCTGGTGATCACCCCTCTAACAGACCGTATATATCTGACACTGACACAGGTACCAAATCTAACAATGAAATAAATTAAACACTGACACAAAGATATCAAAAAAAAATATTGTTCAGTGCCACTTGTTGATTTCAGTGTGATTTGTGTTATTTTTATTCAGGCATTGTCCATGTATCTAGGTGGGGCACCAGCTGGACCAGCTGGTACTGGCAAAACAGAGACAACTAAAGACTTGGCCAAGGCGCTTGGATTGCTTTGTGTTGTAACAAATTGTGGGGAAGGCATGGATTTCAAAGTAAGGAATTATAATCATCCATTATCATATTTCAGATTTGATAAAGAACCACTATGATTAACTTGCTATACCTAATAGATTTTAACTTGGCACTTGGGAAAGAGACCTTTGGCTCTATCAAGTGACTGTTAATTTTGTATCTTGTAAAATTCCTGTCAAAAATTTTATTGTATTTGTTTTCCTCTCCAGTAACCTATCTGGTTTTTCTCCCCCTTCCTGGGGCCAGGTCTCTTTGCTTCATCATTAAGGTGAGAGAGCAGGTTAGATTTAGGCTGACAGCTTGTCACTAGAAGGGCTGTTACTGCCACCTGAAATGAAATTTCTCTCCTTTTGGGGAATTAGCTTAACTGTTCCACACAACACCACTGTTGAAATCTATGGATGGCGCATTGGAAGTGACTTCACATCTCACTGTCTCTCTCTCTTTCTCTCACACACGCACGCACACACACACACACACACACACACACACACACACACACACACACACTCTCTCTCTCTCTCTCTCTCTCCCACATACACACACACTCTCTCTCCCCCCTTTGCATATACACACACAGACATACACTCTCTCTCTGTCATCCACCCCTCTCTCTCTCTCACACGCACACACACACACACACTCTCTCTCTCTCTGTCTGTCCCCCCTCACGTACAGACACACACACATATTCTCTGTCTCTCCCCCCTTTGTATACATACACACTCTCTCTGTCTGTCTCTCCCCCTTGCATAAGCACACACACACGCACATACACACACGTGCACACACACACACGCGCACACACAAACACGCACACATCTATGGGGTGAATTTGTATTTGCAGATACATTCTATTTTGTTCAAAAAGCATACAATTTATAGATAGTCAGTCAATGTGGTGTTTTATTAATTCCTACTTTAGTAATGAAACCAGTCCGACTCCAAACCAAAACACAAATAGATTCTAAACAAGATCTCACACCTAACGTGCATTGTCTGACCTAAAATGTCACTTCTTCTTTACATTGATAAAACCTTTAGTTCTTTCAGGACAGTGCCTTGAAAGGAATTCTGGATTTACATATGCATATTAATCACTTAAAACCTTCTAACTGATTAAAGATTTAACAGCATCTTAGGTTTGTTTAATACATCCTCATCAATGGTGTGACCCTTTGATCTTTTACTTATAAATTCTGTGTCTGATACCACCTCTCTCACTAACATCTGAAGAAGGAGTGAGGCTCTGAAAGCTTGTGTTTTCAAATAAAGCTGTTGGACAATAACCTGGTGTCATGCAATTTCTGAACTTGTGCACCCCAGTCCAACACTGGCACCTCCACATCATGACCTCACATCTTTTGTGCTGTGTTAAAGTCTTAGTGGATGCTGTATTGAGCCATTATTGATTAGTTCCAAAAATTAACTGAACAGGTGAGGGAACAGTTCAAGTCAAGAGTGGCCTTCTGGAAAAGGGTCTGTTTCAAAGTCCAGGATAATCGAAAAGGAGATTTGACAAGGGATACAGTGGACAAACAATAGGAAATGTTGAAGAGTTGGAAGAAACTGAACATACTTTAATAAGCAGTAGCCATGTCAGAAAAAGAGTCAAGAAATTCAAATGAATGATGCATTTGGTAAATCTAAGAATAAAGTTGCCATCTAATATCAGAAACATATCATTTGGGAAGATTTCATGCTCATCTTAATCAATTGCACAACTGTTTAAATTATCTGTTTATGATTTTGGTGCCTGGGAAAATCTCTAACTTTGAAAATGCAGGCTTAGGCATGTGTTCTGCTCTGTGTATTTCTGTTAATAAACTCTTATCCAACAAGGCTAAGGCCTTTATTATTGCCACACTTAGTTCCTACCAAGTACTACATGGGCCACGTGTGACTCCAGCCTAGTTGACTTTTAAATGACCTCAGAACTGGCCCAGCCAACCCCTCAGTTGTATCAAAAAAAGGGCTGTGACAACCTTCTCATTGCAATCGTGGTATGTCACCCAATCTGAGAATGAAGAGTGATGAAAAAAGTCATTCCACCTTTTCTTGTAGGCAATGGGAAAAATCCTTTCTGGGTTGGCTCAGTGTGGTGCCTGGGGCTGCTTTGATGAGTTTAATCGTATTGAGGCTGCAGTCTTGTCAGTTGTGTCTTCCCAAATCCAGACAATCCGCAATGCACTCATGTATCATCTGACCAGATTCCAGGTAAGAGCAACAATATACTATTATTGTACATTTTAACTTTTCTAGAGGTTCCCCTTCCCTGTGTGTAACAACCAACATAAATAATTCCTGTGCTTCTATATATAGCTAAATGCAGAGAAGAAAGAAATAAGTAAATGACCCACTTGTGGACAATGATCTGGTTTATCGTACTGTGTTTGTCTCACTGTAGTTTGCACAAAAGGTTCATTTATTGGAACAAAATACATGCAAAGTAATTGCCTTTGTGCTTAGCCTGATTTTAAAATATGATGTCATTGACCATATTTTTATGCAGAAGATGGGGAAGCTCAAGTTGGGAAACTTTGCGACCTATCAGACTTATCTCTTGCAAAGGACCCCAATCTGTTATATTTCCACACAGGGAAGCCAGGTGCAGGATGGAGTTGGCCTAGCCTTTCTGGAGGCAAACCCATGGTGGCATTGGTGATGGATGGATGGCCAGGCTGGAACGTCTCCTTTCTTTACTGAGACATTGGCTCACTTTAAATCATGAATTTCTGGCCCTCAGACCCTTATGCCTCACCTTCACCACCCCATATGCCCCCTCCATGGCCCCTATAGCCCCATGTGCACACCAAGTCCCTCATATGCACCTTGCTGACTCCATGATCCTTAAACCTGAATCCACTGTCCCTATCGTGCTCCCATGTGTCCTTTAATGCCCCTCATATCTATCATGCTGATTCCAAATGCCTCATATCCCCATGTTCCAGAACATTCCGCTCCCCAAGCCCTTCCAAATATCCCAGTCCTCCTTGACTCTTCTGTACCCATCATAATGTCCATTCTGAATCAATGTCCACCATGTAAGATATGTGTAAGCATGATGACTTCACTGTTACTGGATACTGGTGAAAGTTCCCAGAAACAGGAGTGAGAGTGAGCGTCCTAGTATCAGGTCCTGATTTGGTGGAATCTGGGTCCCTGTGCTGAATTCACAGAGATTATTCAGTTTTATTTGTGTAAACACAATGTGATCAGCTTCTACGTAGGCATTGCCACTTCTTATTATGCTGCTGACATTTGGTCTGTTTTTCTTGCATTCTCTGTGCTTTTATTCATGTAGTTTGAAGGCCAGGAGATTGCTTTGGATAGTCGAATTGGCATTTTTATCACCATGAATCCTGGTTATGCTGGTCGTACAGAGCTGCCAGAATCGGTGAAAGCTCTCTTCAGGCCTGTGGTCGTGATTGTACCTGACCTTCAGCAAATCTGTGAAATTATGCTTTTCTCAGAGGGATTTCTTATGGCAAAGGTAGGAGGGCCGCAAATTTGTAATTCAAAAACATCCCATTCAATTTTAAGTGGAAATTCATTTTGTCCAGAAATTTGTTACTTAAGCGAATTTTGTGCACTGGCAGAGAAAAAAATACATTATGAAAAATAAACAAGGTAAAAACTATACTAAAATTAATTTATTGATTTTTTTAACTTGGCATATTTATTTTTATCAGCCAGTCTTCTATAGCATTGCTTTTGTCAGTTAGGAGGATAAATTGTGTTCTAACTGCAGAGACATTACCTTTTGTAACCCACCACATATAATTTGTTGACTGTTACCAAGAGTTACATTTAGACAGCATCCTGCAACCTTTGTTTAGTTTGGCACAAATAATCTTACACTCATTCTGCCAGTGTCATAAACAATATAGAGTAAGTGGGATTATGTTGAAAGAGATGCGAGTTAGGTTTGGAGTGCAGGTGTGAAAATGCACACAGTTTGGCAAATAAGGCCAGTGATCTGCAGGTATAAATAGCCACATGGGAAAATGACTGCTGATGATGATAGAGATCTGGCTTCAGAGAAAACGGGAGAATTAATTGCTTAATCTTGCTGGCTAGAGAGTACTCAGGAAGAGGACAGGAGGAGAGAAGTAGAAAAGATAGCAGTTTTGCTTAAGGAACATATTACAATTTTGCAAAAAGAGAATGTCCTTAAGAAGTCAAAGTCAGCGAAATAATTCTACAGAGGCTGGGTATCCCATCACCAAGCCGCCATTTATTTAAAAATGTATAGTTCTTGACTATTATACTGCCTCATGCAGAGTTAGGCAGCAGTATCCCTGACACTCAACCTTTTTATATTAAACAGGGCTCCCTGATTGGAACAGATTAACAGCCCCAATTAGGGAACTCATGTTCTAGAAGGTCCAGCTGGCTGACCCCATTACAATCATTACAGACACAGTCTATATATTTGGAATTAAGAAATGAGAGATGAGCTATGGCATTACTTGGTATTGTTTATAAGCCACCAAATAGCAGAAAGGAGATAATGGAGCAGAATTTGTAAAGAAATCATTGAGAGGTGCAACAATTGGTTAGTAATGATAACGGGGACTTAACTGGCTCAGTGTTGAATGTGAAAGTGTTTATGTTAAGGGAATAGCAAAAGAGGATTTATAAAAATTCTTTCATGGGTGTGAACATTGCTGGCAAGATCGTCTTTGTTGACCATCCCTAATTGTCTTTGAGAAGATGGTGTTTTGTTCAAGAGAATTCTCTTGATCAGTAAACCTCCTCAAGTAAATCTCTTCTGCATCTCTCCGAGGTCCTGACAGACTTCTTAAAGTAAGGTGCCAAAAAATAGTGCACCTGGATTTATAAAGTTTTGCATAACAACCTTGCTAATGCACTCTATTCCTCTGTGAATGAAGTTAATTAGCCTGCATCTCTTTTTTCAGTCTTTGTGTACAAATCCCATCCCCAGGTGTCTCTTTTCCTGCACCTTCTTTAAAGTTGTACCATTTAGTTCATATTGCTTCTTCCCACTTTACCTACTAAAAGGCATAACTTTCATACTTCCTTGCCATGCGTCACCAATTTGACTTCCTGAAATCTGTTACTGCATTTGCTTCTTTCAAACGATCTGCAAACTCTGAAATTACGCCCAATTACAATAAAAATCAAGTTTCGAGGAAATGTCATACTGGACTTGAAGCATTAACTCTGTTTCTCTCTCCAAATGTGCTCCCATACCTGCTGATTTTCTCCAGCACTTTCTGCTTTTTGTTAAACATGACTCCCTTAAAACACATCCTTACTGCCTTTCATTTATCAATTTATATTGTTCCAAGTGCCCAAACTTGAAAGGGCTCGGAAAATATTTACAAAGATGTTGCTAGGGTTGGAGAGTATGAGCTATAGAGAGAGACTGAATAGGCTGGGGCTGTTCTCCCTGAGTGTTGGAGGCTGAGGGTTTATAAAATCATGAGGGGCATGGATAGGATGAATAGCCAAGGTCTTTTCCCTAGGGTAGGGGAGTCCAAAACTAGAGGGCACAGATTTAAGGTGAGAGGGGAAAGATTTAAAAGGAACCTAAAGGGCAAATTTTTCACGCATAGGGTGGTGCGAGTATGGAACAACCTGCCAGAGGAAGTGGTGGAGGCAGGTACAATAACTACATTTAAAAGGCATCTGGATGGGTACATGAAAAGGAAGGGTTTAGAGGGATATGGACCAAATGCTGGCAAACGGGACTAGAATAATTTAGGATATCTGGTTGGCATGGACGAATTGGACCGAAGGATCTGTTTCCATGCTGTACGTCTCTATGACTCTACCACCTCCTTGTGAATTATTGTCTCTATAAGTTACCTCATTGTGGATATTAGCTAGCTATCTGTAGTTGCAGGGTTTTGCTCTTTTACCATGGAAGATCTGCTGTATAACATAACAAAGTGTGAATTTATGGTGCAATACTGTTATTTAAGAGCTGCGGGCTCAGATTCAATACAAGCAAGGTCACAAACAACAACCGATATTGCAAGAACTCAGCAGGTCTGGCAGCATTTGTGGAGAGAAAGCAGCATAGAAGGGTCTGAAGAAGGATCAATTGATTCAAGATGGTAACTGTGCTTTCCCTCCACAGATGTAGCTGGACTTGCTGAGTTTTTCTAGCAGTTTCTATTTTTGTGTCTGATTTCCAGCATCCACAGTTCTTTGGTTTTTGTTCGTTCAAGCAAGGTCACAGGCAGCTTTACCAGATAATCAAAATCAGTTTAATTTATTTATTGTGTGTCAGTTCGCCCAGGTGACTGCACAGCTGGTTTGTTACGCAGAGTGCCACCAACAGCGTGAGTTCCTGAGGCTTAGGTTAGCATGAAGATCCCACCGTCTCAATCTCATCCCTTGCCTGAAGTGTGGTGATCCTCAGATTAAATTACCACCCGTCTCTCTTCGATGAGAATAACTCAGTGGTCCTCTGGGACTATGGTGACTTTATCTTTAGTTATTTATTAGCTGACTACATTTTAGTAACTATTTATCAGAAGCCTCACTGTGTAAATAGAATTCTTGTAAAATTTGACATGTATATACATTTAAAACATAATACTGGAAAAACATACGTTTAGCCTCACATTACAGCAAACTTTGTTCTAACCAGCACCTTATAAACCAGGACTCTTGATAAACTGGCAAAAATGATAGTTTACTGTATTATTCTGTCCAATTATTCTAGTTTTTATTTACCTCAATGTTGTTCATTCAAATGGCCACAAGAAATATCAACAGTTGATTCAATTCCGAGTCAAATTTCTCCTCAAATACCGCGATCTACTGCAATGTCCGAGTAGTCAGTTGAGGATGTGAGTGAGGAGGCTCTCTGCTAGTAAGTTTTGTTTAAGGCAAAGTTGCATTATTATTTAAGCAATTTATGCTGCAAATGAAGTATAACAGTAGTGTGTATATTCTCTGTGTGTTTTTACATTGAAGATGTGGACCTCTTGATTATCTGGAATATTTGATTAAATGACACACCCTATTCTCAAAGTGCTGGTTAACACAAAGTTTCCTGTATTTATTCTAATTGAGAATAATCTTCTCTAATCCTATTTTTAAAAATATCTTGTGTTGTTTCTCTTTAAATGTAGATACTTGCAAAGAAGATGACAGTGCTTTACAAACTGGGAAAGGAGCAGCTTTCTAAACAACATCATTATGACTTTGGACTTCGAGCACTCAAGTCTGTACTTGTCATGGCTGGTGAATTGAAGAGAGGGTCCCCTGATATAAATGAGGTGAAGAAGCTCTTTAAGTCTTGTGGCATTTGTAGGAAGATGGTTAGTTGGATAGGAAACTAACTTTGCAACAGGAAGCAGGTGAAGATTGAAGGGAATAACTCCTTTTGGGGAAAATAACTAGTAGATTTCCATCAAGGTATGGCCAAGCCACCATAAAATGTTTACTAATAACAATGTATCAAGGAGAAGTAGCATTTAAACAGATCTGAATTAATTAGTTAGTTGGGAAAAGTTATTGTAGACACCTAAAGATGAAGAATATCCAATTCCTTAGGTAGATTTGGAAAAGGATCTCCTGATGGTACAAAGTTGTTAACACAAAACTAGTCTTATGTACGGTCCATATGGAGACATCTTAGACTTGAAACACTTTATTTTGAGGCATAGTAAATACATCATCATAATACACCAGTATTATGTTTTTAAGTGTACATACATGTCAAATTTGGGACATAGAGACATGAACAATGACAAAAAAAACTGACTGGTCTATCTAACCTTTCCATGCACCTGTGATACATTGCATGTTGCAATATAGAAATATTTCATCAACTGGAGCTCTTAGAATGGCAAAAGAAACAGGCTAAAATCAGGATGAATGGCAGAAGGAAAGAGAAAATCTCCCAGAGCCCCCAGACTTTAAATCTCGAGCACGTTTTGAGTGATTGTTTTTACAGCTGAGTAGCTTACTGTGTAACTGCAGAAAGCTAGAAGAACTTTATTACAAATGGGGCTGGAATCAGTCTGAGTAAGAGTGACCGGCTTCCTTTTGCTCATGGATCTTAGTGAACCATTGGACTTTTAAGAGAATCTTTCTATTTCTTTGAAGACCACCTGACAGAATTAACTGAATTTAGTTTTAAACTGTGGTACATAAAGGTGATCAGAATCTGAGGATTATTGCTGTAATCACTGCTTCATTGTGGTGTCTGTATTTATGAAGAGGCTGATAAAACTCAGCTTATTTTGTTAAAAACAGTTTAATAAGGTGCAGTATAATTATTCAAAATGGAAAGAAGCAGAGGTGATATTAATGTCAGCTGCATAATTTGCAGGAATTATGTTCTGCCATTCTCACATTCCGATCACTTAATCTGCACTATCAACACCTTTTCTTCCCTAGCACTCCACCCCCCCCCAGACCACTATTGCATAAATGCTGTCCCGTCCACACCACGTCAGCTCTGATGAAGAGTCATCTCGAAAAGATAGCTTGCTGTCTCTATAGATGCTGCCTGACTAGCTGTGATCTCCAGCATTTTTTATTTTCAGTACTTCCTTCCATTGACTCCATTTCTACTTCCTGCTGCCTCGGGAAAGCAGCCGGCATAATCAAAGATCCTTTCCATCCTGTTATATTCTCTTCCACCATCTTCCATTGGGCAGAAAGTACAAAAGACATCAAGGCTGCATTTGACCAAGTGTGGCATCAAGGAGCCCTACCAAAACTGGAATCAATGGGTATCGGGGGCAAACTCTCCGGTAGTTGGAGTCATACCTGGCACATAGGAAGATGGCCATGCCTTTTGGAGGTCAGTCATCTCAGCTCCAGAATTTCTCCATGGCAGTTGCTCAGAGTAGTGTCCTAGGCCCAACCATCTTCAGCTCCTTCATCAATGAACTCCTTTCGCCAAGCTGGTTCATTGTTCAGCAGACATAGAACATAGAACATAGAACATTACAGCGCAGTACAGGCCCTTCGGCCCTCGATGTTGCACTGACCTGTGAAACCAATCTGAAGCCCATCTAACCTAAACTATTCCATTATCATCCATATGTTTATCCAATGACCATTTAAATGCCCTTAAAGTTGGCGAGTCTACTACTTTTGCAGGTAGGGCATTCCACGCCCTTACTACTCTCTGAGTAAAGAACCTACCTCTGACATCTGTCCTATATCTATCACCCCTCAATTTAAAGCTATGTCCCCTCGTGCTAGTCATCACCATCCGAGGAAAAAGGCTCCCACTGTCCACCCTATCTAATCCTCTGATCATCTTGTATGTCTCTATTAAGTCACCTCTTAACCTTCTTCTCTCTAACGAAAACAGCCTCAAAACCCTCAGCCTTTCCTCATAAGACCTTCCCTCCATACCAGGCAACATCCTGGTAAATCTCCTCTGCACCCTTTCCATTGCTTCCACATCCTTCCTATAATGCAGTGACCAGAACTGTACGCAATAGTCCAACTGCGGCCGCACCAGAGTTTTGTACAGCTGCAACGTGACCTCATGGCTCCGAAACTCAATCCCTCTACCAATAAAACTAACACACCGTACGCTTTCTTAACAACCCTATCAACCTGGGTGGCAACTTTCAGGGATCTGTGCACATGGACACCGAGATCTCTCTGCTCATCCACACTACCAAGAATCTTACCATTAGCCCAGTACTCTGTATTCCTGTTACTCCTTCCAAAGTGAATCACCTCACACTTTTCCGCATTAAACTCCATTTGCCACCTCTCAGCCCAGCTCTGCAGCTTATCTATGTCCCTCTGTAACCTGCAACATCCTTCCGCACTATCCACAACTCCACCGACTTTGGTGTCATCCGCAAATTTACTAACCCATCCTTCTATGCCCTCATCCAGGTCATTTATAAAAATGTCAAACAGCAGTGGCCCCAAAACAGATCCTTGAGGTACACCACTAGTAACTGAACTCCAGGATGAACATTTCCCATCAACCACCACCCTCTGTCTTCTTACAGCTAGCCAATTTCTGATCCAAACCGCTAAATCACCCTTAATCCCATGCCTCCGTATTTTCTGCAATAGCCTACCATGGGGAACCTTATCAAACGCTTTACTGAAATCCATATACACCACATCAACCGCTTTACCCTCATCCACTGTTTGGTCACCTTCTCAAAGAACTCAATAAGGTTTGTGAGGCACGACCTACCCTTCACAAAACCGTGTTGACTATCCCTAATCAAATTATTCCTTTCTAGATGATTATAAATCTTATCTCTTATAATCCTTTCCAACACTTACCCACAACCGAAGTAAGGCTCACTGGTCTATAATTACCAGGGTTGTCTCTACTCCCCTTCTTGAACAAGGGGACAACATTTGCTCGTCTCCAGTCTTCTGGCACTATTCCTGTAGACAATGATGACATAAAGATCAAAGCCAAAGGCTCTGCAATCTCCTCTCTAGCTTCCCAGAGAATCCTAGGATAAGTCCCATCCGGCCCAGGGGACTTATCTATTTTCACACCTTCCAGAATTGCTAACACCTCCTCCTTATGAACCTCAATCCCGTCTAGTCTAATAGCCTGTATCTCAGTATTCTCCTCGACAACATTGTCTTTTTCCTGTGTGAATACTGATGAAAAATATGCATTTAGCGCCTCTCCTATCTCTTCAGACTCCACGCACAACTTCCCACTACTGTCCTTGACTGACCCTAATCTGACTCTAGTCATTCTTTTATTCCTGACATACCTATAGAAAGCTTTAGGGTTTTCCTTGATCGTACTTGCTAAAGACTTCTCATGTCCCCTCCTGGCTCTTCTTAGCGCTCTCTTTAGGTCCTTCCTGGCTAACTTGTAACTCTCAAGCGCCCCAACTGAGCCTTCACGCCTCATCTCTACATAAGCCTCCTTCTTCCTCTTGACAAGAGATTCAACTTCTTTAGTAAACCACGGTTCCCTCGCTCGACCACTTCCTCCCTGCCTGACAGGTACATACTTCTCAAGGACACGCAGTGGCTGTTCCTTGAACAAGCTCCACATTTCAATTGTGCCTAGCCCCTGCAGCTTCCTTCTCCATCCTATGCATCCTAAATCTTGCCTAATCACCTCATAATTGCCTTTCCCCCAGCTATAACTCTTGCCCTGCGGTATATACCTATCCCTTTCCATCGCTAAAGTAAACGTAACCGAATTATGGTCACTATCACCAAAGTGCTCACCTACCTCCAATTCTAACACCTGGCCTGGTTTCATTACCCTGCTGAGTACCATCATCAATGCAGCCTCCAGTGAAGTGCTGTTGTGCTTTCCCGCCTGTTATATAAACTCTGGTGTCTGTTGAGCTGGGTTACCTCACTTCCAGCTTTCCCCTGCAGTGGAGTATGTATAGGGTCTAGCTCTATGTGTTTGTTAATAGCCTTCTTAGTGGAGAACCAAGGCCTCTTGGAATTCCTGTGCTTGTCTCTGCTTGGCCTGTCCCAGGATCCTGGTGTTGTCCCAATCAACCTGGTGGTTTTCCTTATCCATGTGGATGGAGATGAGTGAGTATTGGTCGTGTCTTTTTGTTGCCAATTGATGTTCGTGTACCCTTGTTGCTAATTTTCTTCCTGCCTGTCCAATGTAATGTTTATCATAGTCTTTGCAGGGAATCTTGCATATGACATTGGTCCTGTCCATAGTGGGTAACGGGCCTTTGGTTTGAGTTAGCAGTTGGTGTAGGGTTGATGTGGGTTTGTGTGCTACTCTGATGCCCAGTGGTCGTAGGAATCTTGTTGTCAGTTCAAATGTGTTCCTGATGTAAGGTAGCGTGATGAGTGTGTCGGGGCATGCAGTATCTTCCTGGTGTCGTTCGTGCAAGAGGCATCTTCTGACCCAGTTTTTCGGGTATCCATTGTCCTTGAATACCGGGAAGAGGTATTCTTCTTTTTGGCATAGTTCTGTGCTGCTGCAGTGTGTTGTTGCCCATTTAAATAGAGTTTTCATGCAACTTTGTTTGTGTGTGTTAGGGTGGTTACTGTTGAAGTTCTGTACTTGGTCACTGTTGAAATTCAGTACTTGGTCAGTGTGTGTGGCTTTCCTGTGTACTTTTGTTAGGAATTCCCCGTTGGTCCTGCATTCCACCATGACGTGCAGGAATGGGAGCTGTTTGTTCTTTTCCTCTTCCTTGATGAACCAAAAAGAAGAAGACTACCTCTTCCAAGTATTCAAGGACAATGGATACCTGAAAAACTGGATCAGTAGATGCCTATTACACGAACGACACCAGGAAGATACTGCATGCCCCGACACACTCATCATACTAGCTTAGATCAAGAAGAAATCTGAACTGACAACAAGACTCCTACGACCACTGGGCATCAGAGTAGCACACAAACCCACATCAACCCTACACCAACTGCTAACCCGAACCAAAGGCCCGTGACCCACTATGGACAGGACCAATGTAATATATAAGATCCGCTGCAAAGACTGCGACAAACATTACCTTGGACAGACAGGAAGAAAAATTAGCCACAAGAGTACACGAACATCAACTAGCAACAAAAAAACACGACCAATACTCATTCATCTCCATTCACATAGATAAGGAAATTCACCAGGTTGATTGGGACAACACCAGGATCCTGGGTCAGGCCACGCAGAGACAAGCACAGGAATTCCAAGAGGCCTGGTTCTCCACTAAGAAGGCCATCAACAAATACATAGAGCTAGACCCTATATATAGTCCACTGTGAAGGAAAACTGGAAGTGAGGTAACCCAGCTCAACAGACACCAGAGTTTAAATAGCAGGGGGGGGAACACAACAGCACTTCACTGGAGGCTGCGCTGATGATGTTACCCAGCAGGGTAATGAAACGTCTGCAGAACAACGAACCAGCTTGGCGTGTCAACCAACCACAACATCCACAACCCGAGCTACAAATCTACTCCAAAACCTTAGAGACCTCTTCTTCATCATAAGGTCAGAAGTAGGGATGTTTGCCAATGATTGCACAACGTTCAGCACTTTCGCGACTCCTCAGATACTGAAGCACTCCATGTTCAAATGAAACAAGATCTGGATAATATCCAGGGTTGGGCTGACAAGTGGCAAGCAACATTTGTGCCACACAAATGCCAGGTTATGACCATCACCAATAAAAAACAATCTAACCACCTCCCCTTCACATTCAATGGTGTTACCATCACTGAATCCCCCAGTACCAACATCTTGGGGGTTATCATTGACCTGAAACTTAACTGGGCTCGCCACATTCATAGTGGCTACAAGCGCAGGTCAGAGACTAGGAATACTGCAGTGAGTAACTCACTCCTGGTTCCCCAAAGCCTGTCCACCATCTACAAGGCTCAAGTCAGGAGTGTGATAAATACTCCCCACTTACCTGGATGAGTGCAGCTCCAGCAACACTCAAGAAGCTTGACACCATCCAGGAAAAAGCAGCCCCCACTTGATTGGCACCACATCCACAAACATCCACTCCCTCCCCCACCGATGCTCAGTAGCAGCAGTGTGTACCATCTACAAGATACACTGCAGAAATTCACCAAAGATCCTCAGATAGCATCTTCCAAACCCATGACCTGTTCCATCTAGAAGGACAAGGGCATCAGAAAAATGGGAACACCACCCCCTGCAAGTTCCCCTCCAAGCCACTCCCCACCCTGACTTGGAAATGTATCGCCATCCTTCACTGTCACTCGGCCAAATTCCTGGTATTCCCTCCCTAAAGGCATTGTGGGCCAACAAGCAGCAGGTGAACTGCAGCGTTTCATGAAGGCAGCTTACCACCCCTTTCTCAAAGGCAGCTAGGAATGGGCAATAAATGCTGACCAACCAGTGACACCCACAGCCCACAAAAGAATAAAAAAAGTTTGAAATCACCTACCAACAGATTTAAGAACTGCTTCTTCCCCGCTGTTGTCAGACTTATGAACTGACTTCTCATATATTAGAATTGATCTATTTCTGCACCTTCTTTGTAGCCGTAACACTATATTCCACTTTCTGTTCTAATACTATATTCTACATTCTGTTCTATTACCCTGATGTACTTGTGTAAGGAATAATTCGTCTGTACAGCATGCTAAACAAGACTTTTCATTGTATCTCAGTCTATATGACCGTAACAAATCAAATCAAAATCAAACTGATGTTAATCTTTCTCCACCAGAGTAGGGAATTGATGTTAGGCCAAAAGCAAGGTTTGCAGGGCAGTCCCAATGAATTAACTCCATGGTACTAACTATGGAATTGCTCACATGCTTGAATGGACTGTACACCACTCCATCACAGTTTTGCGAGTGAAGGGATTGTGAAACCAATTAATAAAATGTAGTAGGATATAGTTGTACCATTAGATTAGAGATAAACCGTGTCCCAAGTTAACATGTATATAATGGAGATGTCTTAGCCACAAACTAACGTTTGTCAATTTTTAATTTTTCACTTGACTTCTGTCTGTGCCACAGCACATAGTTTCACAGTTGGTGTTGAACATGTCTGAGATTATATAACAAAATGTAAATATCTTATTTAACTTGATTTACTAGGATGTGGTATTGATGAGGGCGTTGAGAGACATGAATCTTCCAAAGTTCGTCTTTGAGGATGTTCCCCTCTTCCTGGGGCTCATCTCTGACTTATTCCCTGGCCTGGACTGCCCTCGTGTCCGTTATCCAGATTTCAATGATGCAGTAGAACAGGTCCTTGCAGAAAACCATTATATCATACTGCCAGTACAGGTAAAGGTTTTACCAGTTCAAATAGTAACCAGTTATCTAAGATTACAAAGAGATCTTGATCAGTTGGGTGAAGAGTGACAGATTTTAATTTGGATAAATGCAAGGTACTACATGATGGTGAAACAAACAAAGACAAAACTTATACAATTAAAAGTAGGGCCTTGGGCAGTGTTGTAGAACAGAGAGACCAAGAAGTTCAGGTAAATAATTCTTTGAAGTTTCCATCACGTATGGATAGGGTGGTTAAGAAGGCATTTAGCATGCTTGCCTTCATTGCTCAGACATTTGAATATAGGAGTTGGGACATTATGTTGAGGGTGTACAGGACATTGGTGAGGCCTCTTCTAGAGTACTGTGTCCAGTTCAGCTCATCCTGTTATTGGAAGGATATTATTAAGCTGGAGAGGGTTCAAATGAGATTTACTAGGATGTTGCTGGAAATGGACGGTTTGAATTATAAGGAGAGGCTGGATAGGCTGGGACTTTTTTCACTGGAATGTAGGAGGTTGAGGAGTGACCTTATAGAGGTTTATAAAATAATGAGGGGGTATAGATAGGGTGAATGGCAGGGTTGTTTTCCCTAGGATGGGGGATTTCAAGACGAGGGGATGTATTTTTAAGGTGACAGAATAAAGATTTTAAAAAGACACGAGAGGCAATTTTTTTACACAAAGAGTGGTTGGTATGTAGAATGAACTTGCAGAGAAAGTGGTGGATGCGGGTACAGTTACAATGTTTAGGGGTAGGCGATGGCCTAGTGGTATTATTACTAGACTATTAATCCAGAAACCCAGCTGATGTTCTGGGGATCTGGGTTTGAATCCCACCATGGCAGATGGTGGAATTATTAAAAAAAAAGTCTTAAATTAAGAATCTACTGATCACCATGAAATCATTGCCAATTGTCGGAAAAACCCATCTGGTTCACGAATGTCCTTCAGGGGAGGAAATCTACCATCCTCACCTGGTCTGGCCTACATATGACTCCAGACCCACAGCAATGGGGTTGACTCTCAACTGCCCTCTGAAACGGCCTAGCAAGCCACTCAGATGTACCGATCGCTACAAAGACTCAAAGAAATGAAACTGGACGGATCACTTGGCATCGACCTAGGCACCGGAAAAGACAACGTCAGAGACAGCCCTGTCGACCCTGCAAGGTCCTCCTCACTAACATCTGTGGACTAGTGACAAAATTGGGAGAGCTGTCTCACAGACTAGCAAGCAACAGCCTGACATAGTCATAGTCACAGAATCATACCTTACAGACAATGTTCCAGATACCACCATCACCAAGCCTGGATATGTCCTGTCTCATCGGCAGGACAGACCAGCAGAGGGAGTGGCACAGTGGGATACATTCGGGAGGGTGTTGCTCTGAGAGTCCTCAACATTGACTCTGGACCCCGTGAAGTCTCATGGCTTCAGGATAAACATGGGTAAGGAAACCTTCTGCTGATTACCACATACCGTTCTCCCTCAGCCGATGAATCAGTACTCCTCAATGTTGAACAACACTTAGAGGAAGCACGGAGGATGGCAAGGGCACAAAATGTACTGTGGGTGGGGGATTTCAATGTCCATCACCAAGAGTGGCTCAGCAGCAGGACTACTGATCAAGCTGGTCAGATCCTAAAGAACATAGCTGCTAGACTGGGTCTGCGGCAGGTGGTGAGGGAACCAACAAGAGACAGAAACATACTTGATCTCATCCTTACTAATCTGCCAACTGCAGTTGCACCTGTCTATGACAGTATTAGTGAGAGTGACCATTGCACAGTCCTTGTGGAGATTAAGTCCCACGTTCACATTGAGAACAACCTCCATCGTGTTGTGTGGCACTATCTCTGTGCTAAATGGGACAGACTTTGCACAGATCTAGCAACTCAAGACTGGGCATCCATGAGGCGCTGTGGGCCATCAACAGCAGCAGAATTGTACTCCAGCACAATTTGTAACCTCATGGCCCGGCATATCCCCCACTCAACCATTACCATCAAGCCAGGGGATCAACCCTGGTTCAATGGACGCTGCAGGAGGGCATGCCAGGAGCAATACCAGGCATACCTGAAGATGAAGTATCAACCTGGTGAAGCCACCAAACAGGACTACTTGCACCCCAAACAGTGAAAGCAGCAAGTGAGAGACAGAGCTAAGCCAATCCCACAAGCAATGGATCAGATGTAAGCTCTGCAGTCCTGCCACATCCAGTTGTAAATGGTGGTGGACAATTAAACAACTCATGGGAGGAGGAGGCTCCACAAATATCTCCATCCTCAATGATGAAAGAGCCCAGCACATCAGTGCAAAAGATAAGGCTGAAGTATTCACAGCAATCCTCGGCCAGAAGTACCGAATGGATGATCCATCTCGGCCTCTTCCAGCGGTCCCCAGCATTACAGATACCAGTCTTCAGCCAATTCAGTTCACTCCATGCGATATCAAGAAACAGTTGGAGACACAACAAAGGCTACCGGCCCTGACAACATTCCAGCAATAGTACTGAAGACTTGTGCTCCAGAACTTGTCGCTCCCTTAGCCAAGCTGTTCCAGTACAGTTACAACACTGGTATCTACCTGACAATGTGGAAAATTGCCCAAGTATGTCCTGTACATAAAAAGCAGGACAAATCCAACCCAGCCAATTACCACCCCATCAGTCTCCTCTCGATCATCAGTAAAGTGATGGAAGGTATCATCAACAGTGCTATCAAGCAGCACCTGCTCAGCAATAACCTGCTCGGTGATGCCCAGTTTGGGTTCCGCCAGGGTCACTCAGCTCCTGATCTCATTCCAGCCTTGGTTCAAACATGTGGAAAAGAGCTGAATTGCAGAGATGAGGTGAGAATGACAGCCCTTGATATCAAGGCTGCATTTGACCGAGTGTGGCATCAAGGAGCCCTGGCAAAACTGGAATCAATGGGTGTCAGGGGGGCAAACTCTCCAGTGGTTGGAGTCATACCTGGCACATAGGAAGATGGTTGTGGTTGTGGGAGGTCAATCATCCCAGCTCCAGGACATCTCTGCAGGAGTTCCTCAGGGTAGTGTCCTAGGCCCAACCATCTTCAGCTGCTTCATCATTGACCTTCCCTCCATCATAAGGTCAGAAGTGGAGATGTTTGCCGATGATTGCACAGCATTCAGCACCATTGTGACTCCTCAGATACTGAAGCAGTCCGTGTTCACATGCAACAAGATCTGAACAATATCCAGGCTTGGTCTGACAAGTGGCAAGTGACATTTGTGCCACACAGATGCCAGGCTATGACCATCACCAATGAGAGACAATCTAACCACCATCCTTTGACATTCAATGGTGTTACCATCACTGAATCCCCCACTATCAACATCCTTGGGGTTACCATTGACCAGAAACTCAGCTGGACCTACCACATTAACAGAGTGGCTAGAGAGCAGGCCAGAAGCTGGGAATACTGCGTCGAGTAACTCACCTCCTGACTCCTCAAATCCTGTCCACCCGTCTACAAGGCACAAGTCGGGAGTGTGATGGAATACTCCCCATTTGCCCTGGATGGGTGTAGCCCCAACAACACTCAAGAAGCTTGACACCATCCAGGAAAAAGCAGCCCACTTGATTGGCACTACATCCACAAGCATTCACTCCCTCCACCACCGACACTCAGTAGCAGCAGTGTGTACTATCTACAAGATGCACTGCAGAAATTCACCAAAGATCCTCAGACAGCGCCTTCCAAACCCATGACCACTCCATCTAGAAGGACAAGGGCATCAGAAAAATGGGAACACAACCACCTGCAAGTTCCCCTCCAAATCACTCACCATCTTGACTTGGAAATGTATCGCCATTCCCTCACTGTCACTGGGTCAAAATCCTGGAATTCCCTCCCTAATAGCATTGTGGGTCAACCCACAGCAGGAGGACTGCAGCGGTTCAAGAAGACAGCTCACCACCACCTTCTCAAGGGCAACTTGGGACGGGCAAAAAACTGCTGGCCAGCTAGCAACGCCCACATCCCACAAATGAATAGAAAAAGAAAAGATGTTTAGATAAGTACACGAATAAGAAATGTTTGGAGGGATACGGGTCAAGCGCAGGCAGGTGGGACTAGTTTCATTTGGGATTATGTTCAGCATGGACTGGTTGGTCCAAAAGATCTGTTTCTGTGCTAAATGACTGTATGACTCTATGACTCTAAATAGTAATCAGAGAACAGATTTATGCTAATTGGCAAAGGAATCAGAGGGGAGCTAAGAAAACAGGCTGAACCTATGAAAAATTAGTGATATTTTTACTGTGTTTGGTGGAAGGTTTCTCTCCATGAGGCCTAGTGAGTTTTCTCACGCTATCATCCCAAACTGCAATTACCAGGCCCCTATGGCACCCTGCCATTCTGATGCACGCCTGATTCTGCCACCCAGTGTAGGCAAAGATACTCCTCATCCTGGAATATCCTGGAATCCCTCGGAAAATGGCGCCTTACTGGATAGGGTCCTGGAGGTCCTGGTGGACAAAGTGGTGCAGAGGAGGCCGTGATCCCAGACCCTGCCAGCCTGGTCTGAGGTTGACACCTGGGTCACTGCAGTCTTAGACATCTTGAGGAATGCTCAGCAGTGCAGGACAGACATCAATAACCTTCCCACCCCATCCCGGATGGAAACTAGACATCAAAACAACAACAATTCCTGCCATGAAAGTCAGTAACCTGATGTCCATTAACTATAAAATATGAAGGTAAAAATTATACACTAGCACATATGAAGCATGAGCTATATATTCACAACATTATGTACTCACCACTGACACCCAACCAAACACCAGATCCATCACAGTGCCCAGAAGGGACAATTTAAATATTTCTTTAATTTTTTTCAGACTTAATAGATTGTTACAGAGCTCCTGCTCCTTCAGCTGTTGGTATGAGTTTTTAAACCATTGGGACCTTGTACTTGCCTTGCACACAGTCAGTAATTTCTAATAGCTGAAAATTCAAATGTACCTCATTGTTTCTGAGTGAAAATTTCCTTGTGTACAGGTAGATAAAGTGGTGCAGATGTACGAGACAATGATGACACGACACACAACTATGGTGGTTGGACCCACTGGAGGTGGAAAGACGGTGGTCATTAACACACTTTGCCAAGCTCAAACTAGGTGAGATGCTTTCAACATAACATTCAGTATGGTTTCTATAATACTGTGTGCAGAGGAAACAGTAAGACAGCATCCTGAGTATGTACTCAGAGAAATCTGAATCCTCAACTTTTCAGACTTGTACCACAGATTACAGGTTTTGAATTTTTAATGTTGAAAATATTCCATTAAATGGTTTGAAATTTATTTGTTTCTTTAATTTCCATTTCCTTTTGTGTTATAGATTATCATTGGTGACCAAACTATACACCCTGAACTCAAAAGCTGTCAGTGTGATTGAGCTGTATGGAATCTTGGATCCTGTCACTCGTGACTGGACTGATGGAATTTTGTCAAACATCTTTAGAGATATTAATAAACCGACTGACAAGAAGGAAAGAAGGTAAAATGTCTCCGAAGGCCTGCTAATTAAAATAGATAAATGGGAAGAGAGTGGATATTTTGTTGTGGCAAGAGTAATACATTTACTATTAGTTTTGCCAGATCTGCAGTAAGTCTATGAGATAACGGTCCAGTAGAATCTGTTTAGGTTAAAGGATAGAGAATTAAAACACAATCCAAACAGTGTAGTGTGCTCAAGGTCCCTGTTCCAACTGAGAATTTAGCAATGTTTTCACTAGTAATCAATGATCTTTCTCACCTACAAGTGAAGTCATGGACCCACACCCTTCTTTCTCAGTTTATATGAGCACAGACACTGTCAAGCCCACATTCATATCCAATCTTTAGTTGCCTTGCAAGTTGGTGGTTGGCACTGAGGAAGTGTTGAAATTTCATGGGCAACAGTAAGACTGTTTTGTAGAGAATTCTAGAATACTATTCTAACAACATTAAAGGTGTAATGAAGTACAGTCAAATTCCCCTTTGAGTGTGGCTTCTTGTTAAGATTGCAGCCACTTTACCCTTTTTTTTAATTTGATGGTGCAGGAAAGGGTTTCCAATAACTAGAGTTAGTAGTGTGGATTAAGAAGAGATTTCAGTTGCAGAAATTATTTGAAAGAATAATATGTTTACCAGGCCTTTATGTTGATGTTACAATAGTATTGAGAGGAGCGTACTGATAATCAAACCCCACTTCTCCCCCAGTTATACCATTAATATGAATGTGTTGATTCATTTCCAAAATGATCACTTGCTTTTCTTTTGTCATACTATCCAGACTTAAATAAATATTCACCAGTTTCTTTAATGAAACTCAAAATAACCAGTTTATTAGGCAGTTTATTATTATCAGTTAAATTATTGGTTTAGTAGTTTATTTTGTTCTTAAAGTATGGGGCAAACACTGATTAATACCTAAGCTATGATCCAGAATTAAAATTATATCCCAGAATCACAGAAGTGTTACAGTATAGAATGAGGCCATTCAGCTCATCATGTTTGCATCTGCTCTTCAAATACTACCAATCTCCTGTTTTTTCCCCATACCTTTACACATTGCTTATATCCAAATAATTAACCAATACCCTCGAGAATACCTCAATTGAACCTTCCTCCACATCATTTCCAGGCAGTGCACTCTAATCTAACTACTTGCTGTGTGAAAACATTTTTCTCACATCACATTTGCTTTTTTCGCAAATCACATAAATCTGTGTCCTCTCACTCTTGTTCCTTTTATAAGAGGGAACAGATTCTCCCTATCCATTCTATCCTGCCAGCTCATGATTTTGAAAACCTCTTTCAGATCTCCTTTCAGCCTTCTTCTTTCCAGGAGAACAGTTCCAACTTCTTCAATCCATCTTCATCACTGAAATTTTTCACCCCGAAACCATTCTTGTAAATCCCTTCTGCATTCTCTCCAATTCTTTACGTCTTTCCTAAAATGTGGTGCCTAGAACTGTACATAATACTTCAGCTGATGTCTAACAAACGTCTTGTACATGTTCAACAGCATCTCCTTGCTTGTGTAGTCTGTGCCCCAAATGAATAAAGTTGAGAAAACTGTACATTATTAATTGCTCTCTCAAACTGTCCTGCCACCTTCTGTAATGTGTGTGGATGTACACCCAGCTCCCTGTGCTCCTGCATCCACTTTGGAACTGTGACCTCCACTTTATATTGACCTTCAATGTACTTCCTACCAAGTAGGGGCGGCACAGTGGTTAGCACTGCTGCCTCACAGCACCAGGGACCTGGGTTTGTTTCCAGCCGTGGGTGACTGTGTGGAGTTTGCATTTTCTCCATGTGTCTGCGTGGGTTTCTGCTGGGTGCTCTGGTTCCCTCCCACAGTCCAAAAGTGTGCATGTTAGGTGGATTAGTTGTGCTAAGTAGCCCCTAAATTGTCCAGGGATATGCAGGTTAGGTGGGTTAGCCATATGAAATGTGTGGATAGGGTGGGTCTGGGTGGAATTCTCCTCGGAGTATCAGCAAGAATCAATGGGCTGAATGGCCTCTTTCTGCACTGTAGATTCTAAGTACATCACCTCATGTTTCTCTGCATTGAACCCCATCTGATACCTTTCTGCCTACTCCACCAACTTGTCAATATTCTTTTGGAGTCCCACACAGTCCTCCTCACAATTTACAAGTCTTCCAAGTTACGTGTCATCTGTAATGATGATTTGGAATTGTTCCCTGCCTGCCAAGATCCAGATCATTAATATATATCAGGAAACGCAAGGGTGCCAATACTGATCCCTGAGACTCTCCACAACAAAACTTCCTCCATTGACCATTACTCCCTGTCTTCAATTTCGCATCAGCAAGTTAGTTAAACACAATTTCATTTTAGAAATCCATGCTGACTCTTTCAGATCAACCCACTTTATCCTGTGTGACTACTCATTCTATCCAAATAATTGTTTCTAGAAGCTTCCCTACCTCTGACGTTAAACTGATTGGTCTGTAATTGCTGGGCTTTTCTTTTTCAATCTTTCATGAATAGGACCTTAAAATTTGCAATTCTCCAGTCCTCTAGCACCTCCCCTGAGTCCAGGGAAGACTGAAAGATTGTGATTAGTGTCCCTACAATCTCCACTGTCGCTTCCTTCGAACTGTTCAGATGCATCTCATCCGATCCCGTTGTCTTGTCAAATTTTAGTACCAACAATCTGCCCAACACTTCTTCCTTATCAATTTGGAACCTCTCTAGTGACAGAGTTTCCTCCTGTGTCATCATGACTGGGCAGCACATGTCTTGGTAAAGACAGATGCAAAGCATTAATTTAACACTTCAGCCACATCCACTCCCTTCTTTGGTCTGCTATTGACCCTACTCCTACTTTTACCGCTCTTTTACTATGTCTGTACCTATAGAAGACTTTGGGATGCTATTTGATGTTGACTGCCAGTCTTTTCTTAAATTTTCTTAATTTTCTTATTTACTTTTTCATTGCCCCTCTGAATCTTCTGTATTTCTCTTGATTACCAATCATATTTTCTTCCTGATATCTGTCATAATCACACTTTTTCTTCTTTATCTTAATTTCTATCTTGTTGGTTTTCAGAGAGCTCTGGATTTGTTTATCCTTCCTTTCCCTTTTGAAGGAATATACCATGACTGCACCTGAACCATCTCCTCTTTGAGGGTAGCCCACTGCTCACTTATAAGCTTACCCTCCACCAGGTGTATCCTGCCCAGCTCTGTTCTTGTCCCATTGAAGTCAACTCATTGCCAATTGATTTTTCTTACACTGGATTTATTTCTGTCATTCTCCACCATCATCCTGAACCTTATAATACAATGATTATTATCTCCTAAATGTTCCTGATTAACACCTGGTCTACTTGTACCACCTCATTTCCAAGAGCCAGGTTCAATCGTGCATTCTTGTTTAATAAAAAACGAAAGAACTGCAGATGCTGTAAATCAGAAACAAAGACAGGAATTGATGGAAAAACTCAGCGGGTCTGGCAGCATTAGTGGAGAGAAATCAGAGTTAATGTTTTGGGTCCAATAACCCTTTCTCAGTTCTGACTCAGCATGACTGGTGTCCTGCCATTGTCTACTCCTGAGCTATAACTAAGACTCACGTAGCTCCACCTACATGCATGATTCAGCCACACAGCTACCAAAACCACATTTCTGTTACCTCAGGACACAGTGAGTTAGAAATTCAATCATACTATGAAGATTCTTGCGTGAACAACACGGACATTGGTGAGAAAGCTTTGAAAATAGGGTGAGATCGACAGTAATGAGTTTCTCAACATTAATTGAAAAAAGTCTGATTCTCCAACCACATGTTGAATGACAAGGCAAGAGGCCAATTTATACCAATTTGTATGTATTAACATGTTATTAAGTCTTTTTCACTCAGCAACTTCTTAGGGTATGGAATGCGCTGCTTGGGGGTGTGGTGGAGACAGGTTCAGTTGGGACATTCAAGAGAGCATTGGATGATTATTTGGATAGCAATTGTGTGCTTGGATGTGAGGAATAAGCAGAAGATTGGAACTAGATAATGATGCTTGTTTGAAGAGAATATGCTGACACGATGGACCGATTGGCCTCCTGTGTGTAGAAATTCTATGATTCTGGGATTATTACCTAAGGTAGCCTCATTGTGCAGTTTCCCATTCTCCCGCCCACCAGATATCTCGTAAGATGGTGGCAGAGTAAGGCTTCTGAGCCTGGGGCATGTACACTTCTCCTGCTTTTCTTTTCGTTCTTTTGTTTTCTCTTTTCTCATTTCTCTCTGTTCTTTTACTAACCTCTTATAACAAAATACATATGACAATAAACAAATAAACAAACAAATAATGAAACTGGATAGCAATCATTTCTGGCTCTAAAGTCAAGAGCCAGTAACCTGTTGACTTTAGCCCTCCATCTTGGATAGCAGTTGGCAGTGATGTGCTGGTATGCAGCACATACCAGCCTCTTCGCACCCTCACGACACATCTCCAATCCTCTTACACTTCTGTACTTCAGTGCTATGCATTAGAGCACTGGCACCTTCCATTGGAATGCTGCTCCTAGAACACTTTGTGTGTCGGGATAAGGCACTCATCGATTCAATCAGAGTGATTCTCAGGGCTGGGTCCTAGGATGAGGCATTCCACTCCCGTACATCTCAGATGTCCTCGTTTTTCAAGGACCGCAACTTTCCCCCCTCAGTGGTCGAGAACGCCCTCCACCGTGTCTCCCGCATTTCCCACAACTCATCCCTCACACCCCATCCCCGCAATAACAACCAAAAAAGAATTCCCCTCGTCCTCATGTACCACCCCACCAACCTCCGGATCCAACGCATCATCCTCCGACACTTCCGCCATCTGCAATCCGACCCCACCACCAAAGACATTTTTCCCTCCCCACCCTTACCTGCTTTCCGGAGGGACCACTCTCTCCGTGACTCCCTTGTCCGCTCCACGCTCCCCTCCAGCCCCACCACACCTGGCACTTTTCCCTGCAACCGCAGGAAGTGCTACACCTGTCCCCACACCTCCTCCCTCACCCCCATCCCAGGCCCCAAGAAGACTTTCCACATCAAGCAGATGTTCACCTGCACATCTGCTAATGTGGTATACTGCATCCGCTGTACCCGTTGTGGCCTCCTCTACATCGGGGAAACCAAGCGGAGGCTTGGGACCGCTTTGCAGAACACCTATGCTCGGTTTGCAATAAACAACTGCACCTCCCAGTCGCGAACCATTTCAACTCCCCCTCCCATTCCTCAGACGACATATCCATCCTGGGCCTCTTGCAGTGCCACAACGATGCCACCCGAAGGTTGCAGGAACAGCAACTCATATTCCGCTTGGGAACCCTGCAGCCCGATGGTATCAATGTGGATTTCACAAGCTTCAAAATCTCCCCTCCCCCTACCGCATCCCAAAACCAGCCCAGCTCGTCCCCGCCTCCCTAACCTGCTCTTCCTCCCACCTATCCCTTCCTCCCACCTCAAGCCGCACCCCCATCTCCTACCTACTAACCTCATCCCGCCCCCTTGACTTGTCAGTCCTCCCTGGACTGACCTATCTCCTCCCTACCTCCCCACCTACACTCACCTTTACTGGCTCCATCCCCGCCTCTTTGACCTGTCTGTTTCCTCTCCACCTATCTTCTCCTCTATCCATCTTCTATCCGCCTCCCCCTCTCTCTCTACTTATTTCAGAACCCCCTTCCCCTCCCCCATTTCTGAAGAAGGGTCTAGGCCCAAAACATCAGCCTTCCTGCTCCTCTGATGCTGCTTGGCCTGCTGTGTTCATCCAGCTCTACACCCTGTTATCTCTGATTCTCAGGGCTGCTGTCTTGCTTCCTTACTGCTCCCTTACTTTGCACCTACCTTGATGCTCACAGAACCTCTGCCTTGCCTTTTTGTGATTTGCCCCCTCAGGCAGAGTTTAAAGGTTCACAGAGCCACTGTTTTGCCTTGCTTACCTGGTCCCATCCTTACTTGGTCTGGCCTACATGGCAGTTAGGCAATTAGGAATGGACAATAAATGCTGGCCTGGACAGAGACATACACATCCCATGAACAAATAAAAAGCAAACCCAATGATTCACAGCCCTATGAAGAAATTTCTGCTCACCCCTGTCCTTAGCGATAGACTGCTTAACCTGAGATGGTGACCTTGTGTTCTAGACTTCCCAGCCAAGGATAATAACCTCCCTGTGTCTTCCCTGTCAAACACCTTCAGACTCTTGAATGTTTCGCATTTTCTTAAACACCACAGAATTTACACAGTCACTCATTACAGGACAACCCTCTCATCCCAGTCACTCCCAACCAATCAAGAGCAGGAATGCATCACCCGCCATATTGGTAAAGGGTCCTGCATAGGCAATCAGGGCCCACACTTTAAACAGGTGCTAATTTTCTTTGCAGATGCAATTTAGCAACACGCTGCAGCATCCACCATGCATGCAGCACTGTCATCCACTTGTCAACATGCAGTCCTTAATTGGACCTGCAGAGCCTGACTCCAGATAGCCAGGTGTTCATTTTTTAAAATATATTTCTTCATGCTACTTTCGAAACTCCACTTTAGGTTTGTGGACCACTGCCAGCATGCCCTTGAATCTGCTTATGACCTCAGCAGAAGTAGGTATCCCCAGGATCATTCTTGTAAACTTCCTCTGGACTCTTCCAATGCCAGCACATCTTTCCTTATATATGGGGCCCAGAACTGCTCACAATATTCCAAATGCTGTCTGACCAGAATCTTATGTAGCCCCAGTGTACATCTCTGTTCTTGTTTTCTAGCCCTCTTGAAATTAATGAACATTGGATTTTCCAGGCATGACTTCCCCTTTGTGAAGCTGTGCTGATTCAGCCCTATTTTACCATGCACTTCAAAGCAGTCCGCAATCTCACCCTTAATAATGGACTCTAAAATCTTATCAATGAATGAGGTCAGTATAACTGGCCTATAGTTTCCTGTCTTCTGCCCCCCTCCCTTCCTAAACAGGGGTTTTACATTAGCCATTTTCCAGAGCTATGGGACCCTCCCTAATTCCTATAAGATCACCACCAATTCCTCTACAATCTCCTCAGCTATCTCCTTCAGAACTCTAGGATGTAATCCATATGATCCAGATGATTTATCCACCTTCAGACCTTCTCCTTCTCCTTAATGATGGCCGCTACACTCACCTCTGCCCCGTGATTTTCTTAAAGTTTTAGTACAATACTGATTTCTTCCACCATGAAGACTGAGAGCCGACACAGATGCATTCTGCCCTTGACCCTTTGGTCTTCTGACTCCAACCTGCTGTGAATCATCCTGCCACTTTCTCCTTTAATCATTGCTACTTCACTCTGCTTTCTTGAACTCCTTTAAACCATGTTACTCCATTACATTCTCTGTGTCTTTAGGAATCCTCTCAAAATTAATTTTGTCAGCTATGCTTTCAGTCACCTCTTCCGTGTTTTTTTCCTCTCTATGGGACAATTTTTGTGTTAAAGGTGATTTTTAAAATCATGATTAGAGAATCATACAGAATCATACAGAAGAGATGGCAAATATTCAGCCCACGGTGCCTTTGCTAGCTCTTTAAAAGTGCTACCACATTAGTCCTTTGTCCCTCCTCTTTCCTTATAACGTTGCAAATCTTTCCAACCAAAGTATTTGTCCAATTGCCTTTTGAAAATTAGTGATAAATTTCCTTTCATTGCTTTTCTGGTCATGAATTGTTTAAAGTGCGCTCCTCTCAAAAGACTTTTTGCCATTTCACTTCTGCACAAGAATAGCAGTTTAAAATGTGGGCATTTAAAATTATTTTTATGTATCTTGCAGGTATATTTTATTTGATGGAGATGTGGATGCACTCTGGGTAGAGAACATGAACTCTGTAATGGATGACAACAAGTTGTTGACACTAGCTAACGGTGAACGTATCAGGCTACAGGCACACTGTGCACTGCTGTTTGAGGTACTGCTGTGGCAATCTTTATTTCCAGACTTTTCTGTGTTTTGGAAAATCAGTGCTGTGAAGGAGAATGTCTGTCCCTTCAGACTCCTAAACATAGAACATAGAACCTTACAGCGCAGTACGGGCCCTTCGGCCCTCGATGTTGCGCCAACCTGTGAAACCAATCTGAAGCCCATCTAACCTAAACTATTCCATTTTCATCCATATATTTATTCAATGACCATTTAAATGCCCTTAAATTTGGTGAGTCTACTACTTTTGCAGGCAGGGCATTCCACGCCCTTATTACTCTCTGAGTAAAGAACCTACCTCTGACATCTGTCCTATATCTATCTAAAGGCAGAAATAGAAATGGAATTGCGCAAGATCTGATTCATCATGTTATAGCTAATTCTGAATGTTCAGTCAGGGGGAAATACAATAGAGTGATTCACTTACTGCCCTACAATATCAGAAGTTAGGGTACAATGCAGATATATGCTAAAACTTCTTTTCTTTGAAAATTAAGTGGAGCTTTTACTACAAACAGATGATTGTCAGCAAGAGGAGGTGGTGCAGTGCTAATGTCGCAGGACTAGTAACCCAGAGGCTCAAAGAACAAAGAACAAAGAAAATTACAGCACAGGAACAGGCCCTTTGGCCCTCCAAGTCTGCGCCGATCCAGATCCTCTATCTAAACCTGTCACCTATTTTCCAAGGATCTGTATCCCTCTGCTCCCTGCCAATTCATGTATTTGTCTAGATACATCTTAAATGACGCTATCATGCCTGCCTCTACCAGCTCCACTGGCAACGCATTCCAGCCACCCACCATGTAAAGAACTTTCCACGCATACCTCCCTTAAACTTTTCCCCTCTCACTTTGATATCATGACCCCTAGTAATTGAGTCCCCCACTCTGGGAAAAAGCTTCTTGCTATCCACCCTGTTTATACCTCTCATGATTTTGTAGACTTCAATCAGGTCCCCCCTCAACCTCCGTCTTTCTAATGTGAATAATCCTAATCTATTCAACTTCTCTTCATAGCTAGCGCCCTCCATACCAGGCAACATCCTGGTGAACCTCCTCTGCACCTTCTCCAAAGCATCCACATCCTTCTGGTAATGTGGCGACCAGAACTGTACGCAGTATTCCAAATGTGGTCGAACCAGAGTCCTATACAACTGTAACATGACCTGCCGACTCTTGTACTCAGTACCCCGTCCGATGAATGAAAGCATGCTGTATGCCTTCTTGACCACTCTATCGACCTGCGTTGCCACCTTCAGGGTACAATGGACCCGAACACCCAGATCTCGCTGTGTATCAATTTTCCCCAGGGCTTTTCCATTTACCGTATAGTTCGCTCTTGAATTGGATCTTCCAAAATGCATCACCTCGCATTTGCTTGGATTGAACTCCATCTGTCATTTCTCTGCCCAACTCTCCAATTTATCTATATTCTGCTGCATTCTCTGACAGTCCCCTTCACTATCTGCTACTCCACCAATCTTAGTGTCATCTGCAAACTTGCTAATCAAACTTGCTTACTCAGAGAGTAGTAATAGCGTGGAATGCCCTGCCTGCAAAAGTAGTAGACTCGCCAACTTTAAGGGCATTTAAGTGGTCATTGGATAAACATATGGATGATAATGGAATAGTTTAGCTTAGATGGGCTTCAGATTGGTTTCACAGGTCGGCGCAACATCGAGGGCCGAAGGGCCTGTACTGTGCTGTAATGTTCTATGTTCTATGTTCTATGTTCCTCCTGATCAGGTTAATGTTGTGAAGACATGGGTTTGAATCCTGTTGTGGCAGATGATGAAAATTGAACTCAATATTTAAAAAAACAGAAATAATAAGCTGGTCTAATGCCAACTATGTAACTACTTTTGATTGTCATAAAAATCCATCATTCATTAATGTCCTTCATGGAAGGAAATCTACCATCATTACCTCATCTGGCTTACAAGTGACTCCAGACCGAAAGCATTGTGGTGGACTCTTAACTCCTGGCCTAGCCAGTGATGCCCATTTTAGTGCCAACTCATATCATTATAGGACAGAATTTTCTTAAACTGAATGTTTTTTACTTGGGTGTCATGCTTGCTCGCTGAACATTCACAACAGAATGTCCAAGGGATCCTCTCCAATTAGGCAGATTATAGAAGACCAGGAGGGCCACCCTCTGAAATCGAGCCCTGAAAAGTTGTCCTGCCTCACGATAGTTACTAACAAATCACAGGTCAGTGGCTTTTACACTCAGCAGTGCCAGGAAGGAGATTCGTGTTGCTGCTGAGAGGATGGTCTGGATTACAAGGACCCAGCTGTCAGGTAAGTGCATTGTTGTGGAGCTAGGCATGGTTGTGAGGTTGGAGGGGGCTACAGAGGGAGAGGTGTAGTAGGGCTAGAGGCGAGGCTGCTTCACGATCATGACCTCGATTTTATATAACTTGATTTAGAATTCAAAGGCCACTTCAAAGTAATGCCTGAGATTGTGCTTGTTGCTGTTGGTGGCAGGTAGTTATTTGTAACAGAAGATACCGTTCTTGTAATGATAAAGAGGTAGGTGGGTATTTATATTTATGATGTAGTCAACCTTCATCCACTGCATTAATTCAATACCCTGAGTATCCTGCTCAATTCCAAGAAACGGGAAGGATACGATGGAGGTTCTAAAACCCAAATGCCCAATTGACAGGCAGTCTGCACTGGCAAGAATCCGCCCTTAAGTAGTCCTTAAATGAGCCATAATCGAACACTTAAGGATCTTGACTGGCAATGGGCCAGAAAGGTTGAGCAGGTGCCTTCCCTGCCCAGTCCCAAATTTCGGTGAAGATGGGAAAGTGGTGGGGTTCTGCCCTACCCTGCCTAAATAAGTTGACTTGTCCCTCTGGGCCCACCAGCTCCATGACTGGAAGATTCCATCCATAATATGACTTTCTTGTTTAGGAACTAAATTGAGTCCAACCAAGATATGCTTGTAATTGTTAGAGAAAGGAGGCACTTCACATCCCAGACTGGATATGAGCTAAGTTCCCAGTATGAAAGAACTATTAACTCTGCTAATCAATTCCCTGAGAATACTCTTTTCTGATTAGGTGTGACACAACATAATTTTACTAAATACATCAGTCAGCTTCTTTATTCCTATAAGATAATAACATTCTTCACATTCTTTACCTGATCAGAATTATATAAATAATATATATCATGCTTATAGTCCCTTTGGAAAAAAATTCAGGCTCCATATGAAGAGTGTCTATAAATAGTGAGTTTCATTGCTGTGAAATGTGCTTAATTGCTAGTTTTAATGTTGTTTCAAATCACAGTACGATTCTGCTGCCATACTTGCTGAGAGAGTGAAGTGGGACAATCAGGACTATGAAATCTTTACAGTTTCAAGATCTCAGCCTGTGTTATGCCACAAATGCAGCAATTTTGAAATGGTTGCTCCAGCTTCCTTTTCCTCTTATTTGACATGGAGATGGCCAAGTATCATTGTTATTAGACTATTAATCCAATGAGTCAGGTAATGTTCTGGGGTCCTGGGTTCAAATCCTGATGGAATTTGAATTCAATAAAAACAAAATTCTGAAATTAAGGATCTGATGATGACCCCTAAAATTGTTGATGATTCTTGGGGGAAAACCCATCTGGTTCACTAATGTACTTTAAGGTTGGAAACTGCTGTCCTTACCTCATCTGGCCTACATGTGACAGCAATGTAATTGACTCTTAACTGCCCTCTGGGCAATAAATGCTGGCCCAGCTAGTGACACCCATATCCTGTGAATGAATTTTTTAAAAAGTACTTATTATTAGAAACAAAAACAGAAATTGCTAGAAAAGCTCAGCAGGTCTGGCAGCAACTGTGGAGAGAAATTGGAGTTAACCTTTCGGGTCAAGACACCCTTCTTCAAGACTGATGGTAGCTAAGAAAAAGTTGTTTTTTATGCAGATGATAGGGTGGTGGGAGGGGTAAGGAGTAAGGAGTAAATGATCGATGGAGATAGAGCCTGAAGAGACAGAAGAACAGTTGGACAGACAAAGGAGTGGATCGTTGTTTCTGATTTCCAGCATCCACGGTTCTTTTGGTTTTTACTTATTACTAGTCTCTCTCTATAAGAGGCTGTCACACTCAATCCTTAGACAGCATCTTCCAAACACACAACCATGATAGTCTAGAAGGACAAGGGCAGCGGATATATAGGAAAACCACCCCTTGCAAGTTCCTCTCCAAGGCACTCACCGTCCTGACTTGGAAATAATATCGCTGCTCATTCACCGTCACTGGGTCTAAATCCTGGAATTTCCTCCCTAAGGACATTATGGGTCTACCTACAGCACATGGGCTGCAGCGGTTCAAGAAGGCAGCTCACCATCACCTCAAGGGCAACTAGGGACAGACAATAAACGCTAGCCAGCCAGCATCACCTCATCCCGTGAATGAATAAAAGAAAACTTAAAGGTTGTTTGGGAACAAAATAATTAATTATTTGTTGGGAAAAATTGTTCTAACAGCTGATTCTTGCATAATATGCACTGTGAACTAAACTAAAGTTTCACATTTTCAAATTGAAGAGTCTTACTAATTATGACCATACGTCTGAAAGCTAGATTATGGTTGTTGTGATGTCACTTTAAAAGGGAACATGCTAACGGGCAAGTCACTAGGATGTGGAACATGTCACTATCAGGCATTCTGTCCAACCTACAGCAGATAATGTTAAGGACACCAACTGTGCTTTTCTCTGACAACAGTTGCTGACTTTCCATAACAACTACATATGCTGAGCAATTATACGACAGAACTTCAAAATACCATTTCTGGCGTAAGATTGGTAAGTTTGTATGAGTAAACATAACCATGGAATTGTAGCTTCACCTCCATGACATCAGCTGGATTTAGCGTTAAGCCTGTCAAAATCACTGCCATCAAAACATACGTACTAAGTACACACTAAAGATATGCTTAAAAGATTACAGGGTTCACTAGTGTGATGAGACTTGTAGCTACACCATGCAGATTGTGAAGACCTCTTTTATGGAAATGCCGTCAATAGTTTGGGATGATGAGGGCGTATGTGTGATGCAGGATCAGTTTTGGAATTAAAGTATGGATCAAAGTGGGAACGTAAAAGTGAACCGATGAAGATTTATTGTGTATGAAACTCTGTTGGCCTCTTCTTGATACGTGCATGTTGAGCCTGTCCTTTATTCTCTTTGGGTGGTAAAGGTTGGAGATTTACAGTATGCGTCTCCAGCCACGGTCTCTCGCTGTGGGATGGTGTATGTGGATCCCAAGAACTTGCGCTATAGACCCTTCTGGGAAAAGTGGACTAATGAGAGGACAAGCAAGGTGTGAACTGATTTTATAATCTGCTTCAAATTTTCAACATTGAAACATCAACTGTTAACACTGCCTCTTATTTAACTGCAGTTTACACTTTTCAGAAATGTTTTGTACTGCTTAGATTTTGTCATTTCCACATTTTTAGATTCCTGGACAGTTATGATTATATTTCTTCAACTAACTATAATGCCATTTATCTCAGAAATTATCTTTTTAAAACCCTATTAAGTTTTAACATGAGTTTAAACAAAATCACGTTTAGAAAATGAAGTTTTGTTTAGTGTTAGAAAGTACCAATATGACTATTTAAGCACCAGGCTTGCCGCTGCACCAAAAGGTTGTAGATCCAGATGCCTGAGTTCAGACTCTATGCTGAAGTTGTAAATGTACTGCCATTTATTTAGCAGAGTAACTGGTGCCTTCTTTCTGATGTGACATTAATCCAAGACTTGTTCTTTCCCAGGTAGATATAAAAAAATCCCTTCTTACTGTTTTGAAAAAGAATAGGAAAGCATTCTCTGCAGTGCCATGGCAATATTTACCAGTCATTTAAAATCACTTAAACAATTAGCCTGGTCAATTATTTTGCTGCCTTTGCCAACTTGCTGAGAGCAAATTAGCTGCTATGTTTCGTAAGCAATGAAAATAGCTATTCTTTAAAAGATCTGGGTAGCATGGTGGCTCAGTGGTTAGCATTGCTGCCTGACAGTACTAGGGACCTGGGTTCAATTTCACCCTCAGGCGACTGTTTGTGTGGAGTTTGCACATTCTCCCTGTGTCTGCGTGGGTTTCCTCCAGGTGCTCTGGTTTCCTTCCACAATCCAAAAATGTGCAGGTTAGGTGGATTGGCCATGCTAAATTGCCCATAGTGTTCAGGGATGTGTAGATTAGGGGGATGGGTCTGGGTGGGATGCTCTGAATGTCGGTGTGGACTTGTTGGGCCGAAGGGCCTGTTTCCACACTGTAGGGATTTTATTCTATGAATTGGCTGTAAAGCATTTTGGGACACCCTGAAAAGTCTTATATGAATGTGAGTGTTTCATTCACAAAATGTGTTAATATCCTCAACCTTTCTTTGAGATTTCTTCAGATGAGCAATGTGTTAAGAACTAAAAGGACAAAAATGAGATGTGATAGCTTAAAATCTCACAACTTTATTTTTAAAAATCTTTTCTGTTTGCTTCAGCAAGAACAGGTTGACCTCCACAAATTGTTTAATAAGTATGTACCTTACATCATTGAGATGATAGTGGAGGGAATGTTGGATGGCAGACAAGTGGAAAAGTTAAAAACAATTGTACCTCAAACAGAACTGAATATGGTAAGGGGTGCTATTTTAACTTATTTAAGGTAAAAATATTTATAATAAAATGTATTGAAAAGATTGATCTTTTATGCAGGGACTTAGAGGAACAAATTAATAATTCAGTTTATTTTACTTTGAAACGAATATTATTGAAAAGAAATTTCTGTTAAATATTTAAACGATTTAGTAAAACACATAATATGAAAAGATTTCTGTCAGAAAATTCTTGTCTTCATCTCTTTTATCCTATCAGGTAGTGATCTGTTTCTGCACTCAGGCTTCATGGTGAGTGGGCCTCCCCAGGAACAGAGAATCGGAGATCTGTAAATACTGCACCGCTATTCAAAACGGGTGTGGGGGCTGAGCCAAAAAACTATAGACCAGTCAGTCTGACCTTGTTAGAATCAGTATTGAGAGATAGGATTAACTGTAATTTGGAAAGGCACAAATTAATCAGGGATAGTCAGGTAAGGGAAAGTTGTGTCTTACTGACTGAATTGAATTTTTTGAGGAAGTAACAAGGAAGATTGATGTGGGTGGTGCAATGAATGTTGTCTATCTGGATGTTGGTACCACAATTTGACAACATCCCACATGACAGACTGTTAAGAAAAATTAAAACCCATGGGAAACAGCGGAATGTGGTGAATTGGAACCAAAATTGTATCATTGACAGGAAATGAAGGATGATGTCTAAAAGCTGATTTTCCAAATAGAAGGTGGTTTCCAGTGATGTTCTGCAGAGGTCACTGTTGGATCCATTATTGTTTGTGCAATATATTAATGATTTAGACTTAAATGTGGGAGGCATGAATGCTAAATTTGCAGATGATACAAAAGGTGGTCATGCCATTGATAGTGAAGAGAATGGCGATCAACTGCAGGATATGCTAATGGTTTTGTTGAATGAGTGGAAAAGTGGCAATGAAATTCAATCCAGAGAAATGAGAGATTGTGCATTTGAGGAGAATAAACAAAACGAAAGAATATAAAAAAAACTGGAGGGTGTTGAGAGAGATAAGGTGTTACACCTTGGAGTGCATTTTAACAGGTGATAAAGCAGGTGGATAAGTTGGTAAAGAAAGTATATGGGATTCTTGCTTTGATTGGGTGAGGTATTGAATATAAAAGCAGGGTTGTAGTGCTGGAATTATGTAAGACACTTGTTACGCCACTGCTGGAGTTTTGTGTACAGTTTTGGTCACCGCATTAAAGGAAGGACATAATTGCTTTAAGAGAGTGCAGAGGGGATTTACAAGAATGATGGCATGGCTTGAAAATTACAGTTTTGGGGAAAGATTGCATAGTCTAGGGTTGTGTTTCTTAGAACAGAGGCAGCTGATAAGTAACTTCATTGCAGTACCTAAAATAATGAGGGCTTTGGACAGAATGGACACGGAAGGTGGTTTTCTCTGAGTGGAGAGTTCAGTTACTAGGAGGTGTTGAATTAAAGTGATTGGTAGACAACTTAGAGGGGACATGAAAAAAATGTTTTCACCCTGAGGATGGTGGGTGTCCGGAATACACTGCCCAGTTTGGTCATTGAGGTAGAAATAACTTGTTAAAAAGGAACCTGGATCTTTCCCTCAAGTTGGAACTTGCAAAGCCACGGACCAGGTGCTGGAATGTGGGATTAGAAGAGTGGCTGGTTTATTCAGCTAGAGTACACATTACAGGCTAAATGATCACTTTCTGTGTCATAATTTTTCCATGGTTCTGTGAAAGCTGTAGATTAAGGGATAATAATGCTTCCCTGCCAGTGTTTGTTCACTAGAATCTGTGAATGGGGTTACTGCTGAATTCTTGCCAAGGACACCACTGAAAAGTGGTTGGAGCAAATTCTGACCATGCTATTTAGTCTCTCAAATTAGAGATGATATAGAAAGATAAGATCAAAAGAGATGGCATTGTTACTTCCTACTGGTTTATATAAGATGGTGTTTTGCTAAATTAAATTCTAACATTACTTTAAAAGTTAGTATTTTGAACAGGAAGGTATGTTTTAGGATAACCATCACCTAACCATCACTTCGAATAATTGTTCTCCAGGTGGTCCAGCTTGCTAGGATGTTGGACTCTTTGCTCGAGAAGGAGGTGGACAACTTTGACATTCTAGAATGCTATTTTATTGAAGCCTTGTACTGCTCTTTGGGAGCATGTCTTCTTGAGGATGGAAGGGTGAAACTTGATGATTATGTGAAACGCCTTGCCAGCATGTCAACAGTTGAAGCCTCAAATACCCTTGCAGGCCCAGGAGAATTGCCAGGTAAGTTTTTGGTCCAGTACTTTGTCTTTTCTGATCGTATAATTAGGAATTTAATGAGGAAAGATATTGTGCTGACTCTACAAAGATTGCTATAAATCTGAAATCTTGTCAAAAGTGAAGTGTCAATTTTTTTGTTCAATGTTAGAGAAATTTAAAGGACTAAAAGCTGACACATTCCCAGGACCAGATGACCTCCATCCTCAAGTTCTAAAAGAGATTTTTGCAGAAATGCTCAGTGCATTGAATGTGAATTTCCAATGCTCCTAGATTTCAGAACATCCTCAGAAGAAGTGAAGTCTGCTATTTGAGGAAGGGCAAATGAAAATAAGGAACTACAGACCTGTTACAGTAAATCCTCTGTCGCCGCAAAATTGCAAATTTGCCTATCCGTGCCAAGAAATAAGTCACAACAGAAATCAACATCGGTGGGCCAAAGTCACATATCTGCAATATTTTTAACCATTTTAACCTATTTTTAATGAGCTCCACACTCAAGAATTTCATCCATCATGGGGTTCTCAGGAATGGACCCGTTGCGGATACGGAGTAATGACTGTGTTCTGAGAGCAATCATTAGGGATATACATATTTGCCAGAATATGAAGTAAGGAAATATTAGCAATGTACTTAGAAAATCATAATATGATCAGAAAGAGAGTCAGTCTGGTTTTATGAAAGAGAACGTGCTCTTGATAAATTTGTTTGATTTTTTTGAGTTGTAACTTTTAGGATAGATAAAGGGGTACTATGGATGTGGTAGAATTGGATTTCCAAAAGGCATTCAGTAAGGTGTCATCTTTAATAAGAGGTTAATATGTAAAATAAAAACTCATGGGTGCGCTGGTTGGGGAAGGTAATATATTAGGAATCCATGAATGGAGGATTGGTTCATGAACAGAGAACAGAGAAAAAACAAGACATTTTCAAGTTGACAGGCAGTAACTAGTGCAGAGGTCAATGCTGGAGGTCAGCTTGTTACAATCTATATTTGTGGCCTAGATGAAGAGACCAAGAGTAATATTTCCAAGTTTGCTACTGAAGCAAATCTAGATGGGAATGAAAACTGTGTGGATGACCCAGAGAGGTTGGACAAATTACCTGAGCAGACAATAAGGTGACAGATGGAGTTTAATGTGGAGTTGTGGAAGATTTTTCACTTTGATATATAGACGCATACAGTCATACAGCTTAAAAACAGACTCTTTTGTCCAACCAGTCCATACCGAACATAACCCCAAACTAAACTAGTCCTACCTGCCCACCCTGGCCCATATCCCTCCAAACCTTTCCCATTCATGTACCTACCCAAATGTCCAATGTTGTAATTGTACCCACATCTACCACATCATTAGGAAGTACCTTCTACACATGAACACCCTCTGTGTAAATAATTTGCCTCTTTTGTCTTTTTAAATCTCTCTCCTCTTACCTTAAAAATGTGCCCCCTTGTCTTGAAATCCCCCATCCTAGGGAAAAGACAACTACCATTAACTCTATCTATACCTCTCATTATTTTATAAACTTCTATCAGGTTGCCTCTCAACCTCCTCCAGTGAAAAACATCCCAGCCTATTTAGCCTTTGTTTATAAATCAAACCTTCTCAAAAGCATAAAAGTAGTGCACCTTTTAAATGTTGATGTTCAGGAAGACTATGCTCATACTAACAACATAGAAAGCTTACTGGTACAGAAACTAATTAAGGAAGCAAATAGTAAGTCTTTTTTTTTGGCAATGGGATTACAGTTGGAGAATGAGGGAGTCTGCTACAGTTATAAAAGACTTTGGTGAGAGCGCAATGTGCGGTTTTGGCCTCCATTTGTAAGGAACGAAACATTTACACTGGTGCAGTGCTGCGAAGTTTCACTAGTGTGGTTCCTGTGATAAGAGGGTGGACCTATGATAAGAGGCTGACTAAATTGTCTTGGTATTCTCTGGTGTTTAGGAGGGACCGTGAAAGGATTTGACAGGGTAAAAGCTGAGAGATTGCTTCCTTTGCTGAAAAATTTGGAACATAAGACAGTGTCAGGATCAGGGATCAATAATTTAGGACTGATATGAGAAATGTGTCCAATCAGAGGATTGGGAATCTTTGAAATTTTTATCCTGGGGATTATGGGGTCTCCATCATTGACTTTATTTGAGGCTGGGGTAAACAGATTTTTCTTCTCTTAAGGAATTGAGATATGTAGAGAGCAGGCAGGGAAGCAGAGTTATGGCAGTATCTCAGCCATGATCATGTTGAGCGTTAGTCTAGACTCGTGCTGCTATTTATTATGTTCTTATTGTCTTGTTGTGAAGTTAAGAGATAGCTTGATTTGAATTTTCTCACAATTTAGCTTGCTGTGCCTGTGTTGGCTCTATGGCAGAGTTATCTGATTATCCTCAGTCAACAGCTTTTGCCCAAGAGGCCTGGAAATGTATTTCTTTTAAAGCAATTTATGCATTTTTGTTTTGAATGATGTTTATGAATTTGCTTCCACAGCTCAATCAGGCAGTGTATTCCTAATCACACCAACCTCTTGCATGAAAGTGCTTGTCACCGCTTGTTCTTGCCCGTCATTTTAAATCTGTTTCCTCTGGTTACTGACCCATCTCCCAGTGGAAGGTTTTAGCTTATTGTCTCTATGAAAATGTCTCTTGATTTTAAACACCTCGATCGAATCTTCTAATCAGTGACTCTGCTCTAGATGAAACAATTCCAGGTTCTCCACTCTCTTCATTATACTTCATTGGTTGTAAAAACTTGAGAAGTTGTGTGATCATAAAAAGTCGCTATTCATATTCAGGTATTTATTTTTGTACATAGTTGAAGTCCTTTATTCCGGTACAAATCTAGAACATCTTATCAACAGTGCCTCTAAGGCTTTTACATCCATCTTATAATTTAGTTTCTAGAAATAAGTGTATTTTATAAAAGTTTAGCATAGTTTGCTTGCTTTTCTACTCTGTTCCTCAATTAATAAAACCAATAATTCCGTATATCTTTTTAACCACTTTCTTAATCTACCCTGCCACTTGTTTACAGACACCACCATGGGCTATACTTTACATTGTGGAGTGCTCCCTCCCTGTGCCTCTACCTGTAAGGGAAATCAAAAAGAAATATAATTATTTGTTTCATTTCATCTGAAATCTTTGAACACATTTCTTTGCAAATGTCTTCCTGCAAGATTATTTTTATTTACAGTTGACGTGGAACTGTGGAAAATTGTTGAGTTTTGATATTCAATAATTTTAAGATTGAACTTCCATGTTTGTTATAGGTCAGCTACCAACTCTCTATGACTTTCACTTTGATGATGTCAAACTGAAATGGGTTCCATGGACGAATCTTGTCCCCAAATATGTCCACGATCCTCAAATAAAATTTGTAGATATTCTTGGTAAGTTTTTGTCTTCTTGAATTGGGGACCAGGTTTGATGCAATGTGTTCGATACTGGATTTTCAGTGTGGGGCCCAGAATTCTAGGCTGAAAGACTCTTCAATCTGCAATTGTCAGGTTCCTATGTAAGACAGTTTTTGGTAGCTTAAATTAAATTCTTAGCAGGCATCAGATGAAAAATGAACCCAGTACATTACTTGGCTATGCTCCCCATACTCTAAATATGGGAAATGGGAAATGGGAATTCCCCAAATAAGTATTCTGAGGTGGGGGTCAGGAAGGTGTTAGATTAGGTTATAACATTGGTTACATCTGACAATGTTAAAAGATGTCCGGATATGTCTTGCCTATAAATAGCAGGACAAATCCAAACAGGAATTACTGCCTCATCACTCTACCCAATCAACAGCAAAGTGATAAATGGTTTTATTCACAGTGCTATCAAGCAGTGCTTACACAGCAATAATCCACTCATCTGCACTCAATTTGCGTGCTCAATTTGCAAACTCAACTCCAAACCTTATTACAGCCCTGGTCCAAGCATGGAGCCAAGTGCTGAATTCTGGAGGAGTGGTGAGAATAACTGTCCTTTATTGTCAAGGCACAAAGAAAAATATTTATGGTTGTTGGAGGCTAAGGACACTGGTGCAATTGCTCTTCAAAATAGTGTCCTGGACCAATCATCTTCAGGTGCTTCATCAATGACCTTCCCTCCTTCATATACTTGGGGATGTTTGCTGGTGATTGCGCAGTGCATTTGTAATTCAGATATGTTCATGTTCATGTTCATATGCAGCAAGACCTGGACAGTGTTCAGGCTTTGTTCTGACCAGCAACAAGTTAGATTTGTGACATGTCACAAACGAACAGCAGGTAAAGACTATATCCAACAAGAGAATCGAACCATTTCCCCTTGACCTTCAATGTTATTCCATCACTAAACTCTGGGAGTTACCATTGACTAGAAATCTAATCACCCGGATACTCACTTCCAAATCACGTACCATCCTGACTTGGAATACTATCACCATTCCTTCAGTGTTGCTTTGAGTCCCTTCTAAATCATGGATGTATCTACACCACATGGACTACAACAGTTAAGGAAAGCAGTCCACCACTATTACCTAGCCAAAGGCTATTAGGCATGGACCATAAATGTTGACCCCACCAGCAACATTCACATCTACTGAATGATTTAAATTAAAACACAGAGTTTTAATTTGCCTGTAGCTATATTCTGCTTGATGAGCACAAATAAGGTTAATTGTTAAATTTCTATCAAGACACTTTCCGTTTTGGATTATAAAAGGATTATAGCAATGCATTTTGAGATATAGATCTATTTTACATGAATAATGCAGTTCATTTCAGACATGCTGATCGCTATGAGAGTGCCCAAATGGAGTCTTCAAAAGAATTAGACTTAGAATATGGAGGCTGACTGAACCAGGACAGGCAGATGTAATTCAGTGGCCATTTATCTCCTGTTTTATATTTCCATTATATAAATTGCTATGTCAGCATTTATAGTGGAATCTGCTGCATAAACCTGTCACACTGTAATTCCTTGCTGTTCTTCCAATAGCTGCACTGCCATCACTGGGGGAGAGATTAATTATCTTTTAGACATAAACATTTATAAGAGTAAAAATTTTAACAGGAAGTGTACTCCCATGTAACATGTTTAATATGTGTAAATATTGAAACAAATTAATGTACTTTGCTATATTAAACTTTGCATAATAATTTCTAGTTCCTACTGTTGATACAACCCGTATCAGTTGGCTACTTGAACAGATGGTGAAAATTAAACATCCTGTATTACTTGTGGGCGAATCTGGTACTTCCAAAACTGCTACAACACAGAATTTTCTTAAGAATCTCAATGCAGATGTCAATGTAAGTGCCAGTGTGCAACTGCCTTCTTATCTTGTTACTTTATCCTTTTCAGGAGAGGACTTTGCAGTGGGTTCTTCCAGAGTTCAGCATTAGAGCCATTGCATTTCTTGTAATATATATGACCAGGACCTAGATATGGGATGTGTACTTAGCAATCTATAGAAAAAAATACGTGGACAATACCAAAGGTAACAATGTAGTAAGCTGTGAATTGCATAAGGGCGTTCTTGATGAGGACACAGGCAAACTGATGAAACGGGCAGTCTCATGGCAGATGCAGTTTAATGTGACAAGTGTGAAGTCATCCAATTGGGAGAAACAACTCTGAGAGACAGAATAACATACATGGGATTATTGGGTGGGAGGAGAGGTGCAAGGCCAATGGGGACTGGGAGTGACTGTCCACAAATCATTGAAGGTGGTATAACAGGTTGATCGTGCAGTTGAAAAAATATATGAGGCACCTGGCTCTGTAATTAGGGCAATTGAATACAAAAACAAGGTCAACACGCTAAACTTTTGTAAACCACTGGTGAAGCTTCACTTGGAAAATTAAACACATTCTGGGCACCATTTTTAGGAAGGAAGGATGGATAGTAAGATGGTATGACCCTGGAGAGGATGCAGAGTAAGTTTAACACCCAAAAACCAGAGATACAGGCGTCCAGTGAGAGGCATAGATGAGGTGAATAGCAAAGGTCTTTTCCATAGAGAAGGGGAGTTCAAAACTAGACTGCATTTTTTTTTGGTGAGAGTGGAAGGATTTAAAGTGGACCTGAGGGGCAACTTTTTCACACAGAGGGTAGTTCGTTTATAGAAAAACTAGTTTTGTTTGGGAAACTTGGTTGGCATGCATGAGTTAGACCAAAGATTCTGTTTCTTCACCATGTGACAATGACTCTGACTTCAAGGAGTTTCAAATAATTTTGCTTGATCACTCAGCTATTGTTGACGATCAACTTCTCATCTCGAACCACCTCAATGGATGTCCAAAGAAACCTTGAGGCAAATGTAGAGAAACGAACCAAAGTCACCTATGGACCACCTATGGGAAAGCGTCTGTTGGTCTTCATTGATGACATGAACATGCCTCGGGTAGGCGGATGTGTCTTTACTACAAATTGGAAAATTAATAGATTTTTCTAAAGTATAGTTTCCCTTACACAATAGTGATTATTCCATATTACAACATAGAACAGCAAGAAATAGTAATATTGTATAATACAAGTAAACTGTCACATAGATTAAATACAAGAATGTAAAAAATAGCAGAAATGTGTCATTGAGCACTTCGAGCCCTCTCTGCCATTCAATGAGTTTGTGGCTGATCTTCTACTTAGACTCCATTTTTTGTTTTGTCCCGTTATCCCTTGATGCTTAAATCTATTCCTCCTCATCTCAGTCCTAAATGATCTGCAGTTTACACTAACCAACTATTAGCAGTGACCTTCTCTCTGACACTTACTTTGGGTCCTCCAGGGCCATTCAACCCTTGACCGCATTAAGTTTTAGATCAAACATGGACTAAAGAGCTGAATTCAAGAGGTGAGATGAGAGTGGCAGACCTTACATCAAGGCTGCATTTGACTGCGTGTGACATTAAGGAGACTGAGCAAATCTGGAATCGATGGGTATCAAGGGGAGAACTCTCCATAAGTTGGAGTTATATTTGGTGCATAGGATTGTGGTCATTGGAGGTCAGTCATCTCAGCTCCAGGACATTTCTGCAGGAGTTCCTCAGGGTAGTGTCCTAGACCCAACCATCTTCAGCTGCTTCGTCGATGACCTTCCTTCCATCATTAGGATAAAAGTGGGAATGTTCACTGATGATTGCACAATGTTCAGCACCTTTTGTGACTCAGATACTGAAGCAGTCTATGTTGATTTGCAGCAAGACCTGAATAATGTTTAAGTTTGAGCTAATAAGTGGCAAGTAACATTTGTGCTACAGAAGTACTGACCATTTCTGATAAGAGAGAATTGAATCATTGCCCCATGAGGTCAGAAGGAGGGAATGTTCACTGACAAATGCCAGGCAATGACTGTCTCCAATAAGAGACAATCTAATCATTGCCTTTTGGCATTACCATTACCAATTCCCCTACCATCAACATCCTGTGGATTACCACCGGACTCACAATATAAATGCAGTGGCTATAAAAGCAGGTGAGAGGCTACGAATAATGTAGCGATTAATTCACCTCCTGACTCCCAAAAGCTTGATTACCTTCTACAGTGCACAAATCAAGAGTGTGATGGAATACTCCACACCTAGCAGGATGGGTGCAGCTCCAGCAACCCTCAAGAAGCTTGACACTATCCAGGAAAAAGCAGCCCACTTGATCAGTACCACATCCACAAACATTCATCCCCTTCGCCACTGTTGCTAGATAGCAGTGTACCATCTGCAAGATGCACTTTGGAAATTCACAAAAGATCCTTAGACAGTATGTTCTAAACTATCAAGAGAAACAAGGGCGGCAGATACATGGGTACATTGCCACCTGCAAATTCCCCTTCAAGCTACTCACCATTCTGTCTTGGAAATATATCACTGTTCCTTTAGTGTTGCTGATCAAAATCCTGGAACTCCCTCCCAAAGTGCATTGTTGGTCAACGTACAGCACATGGACTGCAGCGGTTCAAGAAGGCAGCTCACCACCATCTTTTCAAGGGGCAACTAGGGACGGGCAATAAATGTTGCCCCGACCAGCGACACTCAAGTCTCATGTGAAAATAACAAAAACCTCAGCTTATAAACTTTGTGATGACATAATTTGAAACCATTTAAGCAATAAGTATTAGGTGTCATTACCATGGAAGAGAATGAGATATAACCAACTAATTTGAAAGTGATAGAGCTCCTGTTATACTGAATTGATTCCCAGTCAGCTAAGAATATATCAGAAACAGGATCAGGAGTAAACCATTTTGTCCCTTGAGCCTGATCAGCTATACAATTATAGCTGATCCCACCCACTTGCCACATTGCTCCCATCTTCTGGGTTCTTCGCTCCCATGTACATTGAGGATAATTGATAGCTGACAGGCAATAACAATTCCTATTGTGAAGAAAGATTAGTGGTTTACTAATGTAATGCAGGGGAGTTCTTCCAGTTGTCAAGTTAACCCTTCTTCAGAGTGGCATTCTGCTGCTTTTCCTGGCAAACCAGGAAAGTACAGAGATCAGTAGAAAATCCAAATTAGGCCAAGAATCCATTATAAGAGGCCATGAATGGTGCTCCAAAGCACACAGGACAATGCATCAAGTGTTGCAGTAAGGGTAACAAGAAAAGGGTACCACCAATAGTTGACATAGAATTATACTTTCCATTTCAGGGAAGGGATCACTTTTGAAAACAGTGACACCAACAATGATGAAAATAGAAATAATAGTTATTTCAAAAACATATTATTTCTTAGGATGTGAATATTGCTGACAAGGCAGTATTTATTGCCCATCTTTAATTGACCTTGAGAATGTGGTGGTGAACTGCCTTCTTGAACTAATTCAGTCTAGCTGGTTTACCAGAGTGCTGTTAGGAAGAGAGTTCCAGGGTTTCAAGAATTTTGAGAATTCCAGAAATGTAGGAGACATACAAAGGAAGCAGGGTTCTGAAGGTTGGTATTCACCTGAAACATCAGCCTGTATTTTCTCTTTAAGTTATAGACAGTGTGTCTTTAGCAAAATCTGTTTTGACATGATCCTACATCTACATTCTTTAAGTTTAGATTATCTTTGTTAACTGGTGATAGTTACCTTCCATTATCTGTAACATCATTGAAACTCTCTGAAGTTGCAATCTCTGGCATACAGCCATTTTTGATACTAGGACCAAAACTGAAATAGTTAATGCAGCAGATTTAAAAACAGATGGGTTGTGAATTGGACAGACTGACCGCACACGTCTTGCAAAATTCTAACTTGGATCATTATTATTCCTTCAAATTTTAGCGAGGTTGCTAGTGGAGTGTGACAAAATGAAATAAACTTAACTTTGTTGTCAGTGATTCACATGAAATGATTTCCCTTCCAGAAGTGTTTTGTTTCAAGATTTAATTAACATTGTTAATTATTGAAAACTAGGTTGACGAGTATGGCACACAGCAACCCATAGCCCTGCTGAAACTTCTCCTGGAGAAAGGTGGAATGTATGATCGTGCTAAGGAACTGAATTATAAGATCCTGAGAGACTTGGGCTTTGTTGCTGCAATGGGAAAAGCAGGTGGTGGACGAAATGAAGTGGACCCTAGATTTATCTCGCTGTTTTGTGTTTTCAATGTGACATTCCCAGCACAGGAATCGCTGTTTTCAATTTATACTTCAATTCTGAAAGGACATACTCTGGTAACTATTGGAAAAGAAACCAATTCACAACCTTGATCATTTTGGAGGAAACTATTCTGTCAATGAGTATTGTTTAATGTCTATATTTCAGTGTGATCTTATGATCAGAGTCTGATGCAAGAGTTCAGTGCAGAAACTTAAATGAACACTGATTACAGCAGCCTGTCCTGATGGTTCCTTATGGAAATTAAATCACAGGAGCTAGAAAGGTCCTATGGCTGATCCCTGTTGATCCTGAGTAAGCTGAGCAAGGACTGGACACCAATGCCAATGTTCTCAGGGACCTCGCTGACCTGAATAAAATATAGATCCAGAATCTGGTGCATTACCTTGTGGGGTATCTCATGGCATACTCCTAGGTACACTAGTTACTGGAATCTCCAGCTCTAAATTTTATACTGAAAACAAAATAAAACACTGGAAATCACATCTAGACTTGAAACGTTAGCTTGCTGTCTATCCATGGATGCTGCCTGATCCGCTGTGATTTCCAGCATTTTTGTTTTCAGTACAGATTCCAGCATCTGCAGCAATTTGCTCCTACAATTTATATTGCTGGAATTACAAGCTGATATAATTGTAGGTAGCATGAAATATAATGCATTTGAGACCTTGGTGATCAATGGGATAAACAGCTCATCTTTTTAAAAAATGGGGTCTAAAGACTGAGAAATAAATAGAGGGAGGAAGTACATTGAATTCATTTGTTCTAATGTCAAATCAGATAAATAAAGGAAAGAAAAGAAAGACTATGTTTAAGATAAAGAAAAATAAAGGAGAACTTTAACATTGACATTTTTATAATCTCCAACAACAATTCATTACCTGAATGAAAGGTGGCTCCAGTGGTGTCAGATATGTGCTTCCTATTTGATCATTTTTGCAACAATAAAGATGGAGACTTATATATGACTATGGAAAAAAAAGAAAGGGAGTGTGGTGGCATGTGCTTAAAATGATAACTGTTTGTTGCATAGACCTTTACAGAAGAACTTCAAGCTATTTGCAGTAAGGTGACCACTGCTACTCTACAGTTGTACAATTCGATTGTAATGGACCTGCCTCCAACCCCTTCGAAGTTTCACTACATTTTCAATCTGCGGGACCTCTCTAGGGTGTACAACGGACTTGTCCTTGCAACTCCTGAGAGGTGAGGTTAAAATAGAGCTGTTCTTGTCTCATTTTATTTGAACTGAAGATTATTATTTTACGTGTTGGATACAGATCCATCAGTAATTTGTTTGCCTCTAAATTTCAAGGTTCTGGGATCAAATCCCACTCTAGGGGTTGAGCACAAAAGTCAAGGTTGAAACTCACATGCAATCCTGAAGTGCACTTTTAGAGATTTTGGATGTCTTGCCCTTTCAGGTGGATGTAAAATGTCCCATGATACTGTCTCAAGGAGGAGGAGTTATCTTTGGTGTCCCAGTCAACACCATGAAAACTATCTAGTCATTATCACGTTGCTGTTTATGCCAAGTGCGACTTGTCTGTTGTGTTTTCTACATTACAACTAATCCTCATTATTCTGTGGTGATTTCTAAGGGAAAACAAAAATGTGACCATGTAACATTTCCTATCTACCATAACGGACTGTGTTTTCAGAGTTGATAAGTCAATGGGAAAAACAAAGATGGAGTCTGGGGCCAACCTTGCCAGTACTTGGATCCACAGATAATGAGGAATAAGTATATAACAGAGGCTATACATCAAAAGTATTTCACTGCTATCAAGTAGATTGAGATGTATGGTGTTCATAAAAAGGATGGCATAAATTCAAGTCTTTCTTTTGAGATGATTTAGGGAAGAGGTACAAAATTGCATTTTTGTGGCACCTCTCACAGCCTCAGGACCATCCCAAAATGCTTTGCATCCAACAAAATATTTCCACAGTACACTGACTGTTATAATCTAGACAACAACACAGCAGAATCGTACAGACAGCATTAAGATATATGATTAGATATTTTGATTTAATGATTTTGGTTAAGGCATAAATGTTGGACATGACAGTAAAAGATGCTGTCTTCTTTGAAGGTGCTTCACAGCCATCTGAGGGTCTTGATTTCATGTCTTATCTGATGTTCAACACCTCAGGCTGTGTAGGTGTCCCTTATTGATTGATTGATTGATTGATTGATTTATTGTAACATGTACCAAAATACAACAAAAAACTTTGTTTATGAGCAGTACAGACATTATAGTAGGCAAGGATATACAGATCAAAAAAACTTAGACAGGTCATGTGCTAGCGAGATCAATGTTAGCAAGATCAACATTATTTGAGGCTAGAGAGTCCATTCATCAGTCTAATAACAGCCAGGAAGAAGCTGTTCCTGAACCTGCTGGCTTAGTATTGCAGTGAAGTGGTAGCCAGGGATAGGTACTGGTTGGGAATTAAACCCCACCATCTTTTTACTCACAGATGAGTGTTACCCGCTGAACCAAGGCTGAGATTTCAATTAAAATTGTACCTTTAAGCTGGAAGGAGAATATTTTAAATGGTGTCTTCAATCTACAAACACCATTATTGAGAAAAAGTACACTGTCTGCTCCAATTTAATTTCTGTGTTCAGTGTCTGGTCTCTCTGCCTTTGGAATTGGTTCTGTTTTTACCATTTCTACACCCCCTTTCTCCCTGAATTTCCTTATAGCAAAAGAGGCAGTTGTGTAGTGGTTATGGCATGAGGCCAGTATCTCACATTATATGCCCCAGCTTATCTGCAATTTCACTTGGGGAATCTCTGCATGTCCCTTTCCTGCTCTCTCTGTCTGTCAAATCTGTCAGGCTGCACCATCTGCTAGGCAAAAGAATATAAATTCTCTGGACAAGGCTGATCGTGTCTGCAAGATGTCAACTTGGAGATGGAGAAACCTAACCAAGAAATGGATTCATTCATTCATTCCCTTTATTAAGTTTGTTTAAAAGACAAAACTTTAGAATAAATGTTTGTTGGCCATATTATGATTGTTGAGTTTTGGTTCAATTCTTGTCTGTGGGTTAATTTTAATAACCTTGGATGTTTTTTGATGGGAATCATTTTTCATGGAAACAGGAAGAGGCCATTCAGTCCTCGAACCTGTTCCGCCATTCAATTAGACCATGGATGATTTGTACCTCAAAGCCACTTACCCACAATGCCATTTCCTTCAAAACCTTTCAAAAATCAATTTATTCCTGTCTAGAATGCTCGGATTATCCACCAGGACCTAAATCCTTTTGGGGAGAGAATTCCAGATTTCCATTACCCTCTGTGTAAAGAATTCCTTCCTGATTTCCCTCCTAAGTAATGGAGGTATAGTTTTATTTTCCACCAGACGAAACAGTTTCTCTATATATACCTTGTCAATCCTTTCATCATTTTAAATACATTGATCAATTCATTGTTCAACTTTCAAAACTAAAAAAATTCTTAACTTTATACAGCTTGTCCTTGTAATTAACCATTAATCTCTGGTATAGTCCTTATTAACGTGCCCTATACCCACACAAAGTCAATAATAATCTTCCTGAATGCCCAGGTCATAAGCTGATATATAAATACAATTTGTTTTTAACTTTTGTTATTTCTCACCAAACATTTAGCACACCTCCTTCTCTCATTCCAGTTCTCTTTCAATCACCAGTTGTGGTTCCCCTGCTGAAATTAGCTGGCTCCATTTATACTTGGGATCCAGTCTGGTACCTCCCTGGTTTGTGCAGTTCATGTCCACCAGGGCTGTTGATCCTTTGTGGAAGCACCAAGCAATGCTTGAAATGTAATTGCAATGATTGCTGGTTCCATGAATGATTATTTGAAATGCTGAGTGGCTTACAGGTTGGCAGGACAGCTATAGATTTAGGAAAATGTCACCAGGAGGAGGCCATCAGCTCCTCCAGCCTGTTCCACTACTCAGTCAAATCGTTGCTGACATGTGTCTCAACTGTCTCTACCTTCCCTAGCACTACATTCTGTGATATCCTTATCAAGTAAAAATCAGCCGATTTGGAATGTTCCCATTGTTCCCCAGCAGTTCCAGATTTTTTTACTTTCTTCACATAGATTGACTATTTGTTTTTAACTTGTGTTCACAATTAATCTCTTTCTTCCAATATTTGTTAAGATTTCAGAAAGTTGGACAAATGATCAGACTCTGGAGGAACGAATGTCTTCGAGTGTTCCATGACAGGCTCATTAATGAAATAGACAAAAAGCTGGTTGGTATAAAAATCAACTAAGGAATTCTTGAGTGATATTGGACTGAATTTCCCAATCCTATGGGAGGCCTGGCAGTATGGTGGGTGAAAGTATCGGGAGGAAAATCTGAAGTCTTGCAATTGTCATGGAATGTTGCAAGCTGGGTAGCCAATTGAACTTCTTAATGACCCAATTAAACCTCTCTCCAGCCACTGCAGACATCTTGCTCAGATCAGCAGAACTCACTGTCATGTGGGCTGAGCATCCAATAAACCCTGGAGCTATCCCATTGGTTTTTGGTGATGGGTCCTCCTCAGTGGGTGCTCCATAGCCTATGGAAGCACCCCCAATATCAGTTGCCCTTCAAAGATGCCACTGCCATAAATCCCCTCTTCCCCCAGGTCAGCTCTTGCTTTCGGACTAAGAGGCAGGTCTTTATCTCCCTCTGAAAAATTCAACCCATTAGAACATAGAACAGTACAGCACAGTACAGGCCCTTCGGCCCACGATGTTGTGCTGAACTTTTACCCTAAACCTAAGGTCTATCTAACCTCCACCCCTACCTTATACTCTCTGGCTGTCCACTCTATCTACACCTCTGATCATTTTGTACACCTCTATCAAGTCACTTCTCATCCTTTGTCGTTCTAAAGAGAAAAGCCCTAGCTCTCTCAACCTTTCCTCGTAAGACCTTCCCTCCATTCCAGGCAACATCCTGGTAAATCTCCTCTGCACCTTCTCCAACACTTACACATCTTTCCTGTAATGAGGCAACCAGAACTGGACACAATATTCCAGATGCGGCCGAACCAGGCTTTTGTATAGCTGGAGCATAACTTCGCGGCTCTTGAACTCAATCCCTCTATTAATGAAAGCTAACACACCATACGCCTTCTTAACAACTCTATTCACCTGGGTGGCAGCTTTCAGGGAACTGTGGACATGAACCCCAAGATCCCTCTGCTCCTCCACACTGCCAAGAATCTTTCCATTAACCCTGTATTTTGCTTTGAAATTTGTCCTTCCAAAATGAATCACCTCACATTTTTCAAGGTTAAACTCCATCTGCCACTTCTCAGCCCAGCTCTGCATCCTATCAATGTCCCTTTGTAACCTAGAACAGCCCTCTGCACTATCCACAACTCGACCCACCTCCATGATTTCAGACCATTCCAGTTTCTGCACCATTTTGTAGTAATTTTCTCCTTAATGTATGTTTATAGGTCATCAACATATTAAATTCACAAAATATATTTAAATTTCCACTACTTAACCTTTAAGAACATGATTAATTAGTCAAGTATTTGTGAAATATATCAAGAAATTTCTCAGTCAGTATCTTTCCTTTTAAATATTTTGTTCTTTTTCATTACTTTTTTATATTTTAAGGTTCAAAATCATATCGCAAAATTAATAGAGGAACATTTCCCAAGCGAATTGGAGGAAGCTGTACGGGATCCAATACTGTTTGGAGACTACCGAACTTTCATGAATGAGGGAGAGCCTCGTATATATGAAGATATTCAGGATTATGAGGCAGCTAAGGCTCTGTTTCAGGTATACTTTAACAGCTAATAAACTATTGCACGATGGTAAAACTTGATAATGACCTGTGTGTAAGTAATCAGTCGCAATTTTCATTAGAGCTCAAAATAATTCTCCCCTTTGAAAATGTAATAAAAACAGTCAATATATTTGTCCACTTAGAGATACTAGTATCCCTCACATGCAATGTTCCCCCTAAGTTGTGCATGTATGTGCAGCCGCTGCACCATTTCATACATGGAGACTGGCAGGCCGACATGGATTGCAGCTTTGACTTCCTGAAGTCATATCTGCATATGAACTTCAAGGGGCCTTGGGAAGAAAACAAAATTAGAGGGAACTCTGCTGACGTGCAGCACATTTTTTTTTCTAATCTGTCCATGGGATGTAGGCATCACTTGCTGGACCAGCATTAATTGTCCATCCAGGATTATCGTGGAAAAGGTGATGGTGAGTTGCCTTCTTGAACCTACAGTGCCCTTAGAGAGGAAGTTCCAGGATTTTGACCCAGTGTCAAGGAATGGTGCTATATTTCCAAGTCAGGATGGCATGTGGCTTGGAGGGGAATTTGCAGGGGTTGGTGTTGCCTGTATCTGCTGCTGTTGTCTTTCTAAATGGAAGTCCTTGATAACGAGAGTCCAGAGACAGTATGTTCCTATTAGAGTGAAGGCTGATGGGTGTACTGAATGCGGGCTGACTAGAGAAATTGAGGTTTTGGTCAAGAGTAAGAAATAAACATGTGTCAGGTATAGACAGCAGGAATTGAGTGAAACCCTAGAAATGTATAAAAGCAGTGGGAGTATACTTAAGAGGGAAATTAGGAGGGCAAAAAGGGGACATAAGATAGCTTTGGCAAATAAGGTTAAGGAGAATCCAAAAGGATTCTACAAATAAATAAAGGACAAAAGAGTAACAAGGGAGAGAATAGGGCCCCTTAAAGATCGGCGAGGCCGCCTATGTGTGGAACCACAGGAGATTAGCAAGTATTTTGCATCAGTGTTTACTGTGGAGATGGCTACGGCAGACAGAGAACGTGAGGAAATAAATAGCGACATCTTGAAAAATGTCCACATTACAGAGGAGGAGGTGCAGGATGTCTTAAAATGCATAAAGGTGGATAAGTCCCTGGGACCTGATCAGGTGTACCCTTGAATGCTGTGGGAAGCTAGGGAAGTGATTGCCGAGCCCCTTTCTGAAATATTTGTATCATCGATAGCCACAGGTGAGGTGCCAGAAGACTAGAGGTTGGCTAACATGGTGCCACTATTCAAGAAAGGTGGTAAGGAAAAGCCAGGGAACTGTAGATTGGTGAGCCTGACCTCAGTGGTGGCCAAGTTGTTGAAGGAGATCCTGAGAGACGGGATTTACGTGTATTTGGAATGGCAAGGACTGATTGGGAATAGTCAACATAGCTTTGTGCGTGGGAAATTGTGTCTCACTAACAACTAAGTTTTTTGAAGAAGAAACGAAGAGGACTGATGAAGGCAGAGCAGTGGACGTGATCTGTATGGACTTCAGTAAGGCATTTGACAAGGTCCTTCTTGGTAGACTGCTTAGCAAGGTTAGATCACATGGAGTACAGGAGGAACTAGCCATTTGGATGCAGAACTAGTTGAAGGTTGAAGACAGAGGGTGGTGGTGGAGGTTTTCATTCTGGAGGCCTGCGACCAATGGTGTGCCACAAGGTTTGGTGCTGGGTCCACTGCTTTTTGTCATTTATATAAATGATGTGGATGAGAACATAGGAGGTATGGTTAGTAAGTTTGCAGATGACACCAAAATTGGAGGTATAGTGGACAGCGAAGAAAGTTACCTCAGAGTACAATGGGTCCTTGATCAGGTGAGCCAATGGGCCGAGGAGTGGCAGATAGAGTTTACTTTAGGTAAATGTGAGGTGCCGCATTTTGGAAAGGCAAATCAGGGCAGAGCTGCCCCACCACTGCCTACCTGCACTCACCTATCACCATCCCACCAACCTTCTCCAGCTCCACCCCTTCTTTCTCTATTTATTTCAGAGCTCCCTTCCCCTTCCTCCATTTCTGAAGGAGGGTCCCGACCCAAAATGTCAAATTTCCTGCTCCTCTGATGCTGCCTGGCCTGCTGTGCTCCTCCAGCTCCACACTGTGTTATTTCTGACTCCAGCATCGGCAGTTCTCACTATCTCTGAGCTTATATACTTAATGGTAAAGTCCTGGCGAGTGTTGCTGAACAAGGAAACCTTGGATTGCAGATTCATAGTTCCTTGAAAGTGGAGCTGGAGGTAGAAAGGATAGTGAAGAAGGCATTTGATATGCTTGCCTTAGTGCATTGAGTAAAGAAGTTGGGAGGTCATTTTGTGGTTGTACAAGATATTGGCTAGGGCACTATTGGAATACTTCTGGTCTCCCTGCTATAGGAAGGATATTGTGAAATTTGAAAGGGTTCAGAAAAGATTTACAAGGATGTTGCCAGGGTTGGAAGGTTAGAGCTATAGGGAGAGGCTGAATAGACTGGGGCTATTTTCCCTGGAGCATCAGAGGCTGAGGGGTGATCGTATAGAGGTTTATAAAATCATGAGGGGCATGGATAGGCTGAATAGACAAGGTCTTTTCCCCATTGGTGGAGTTCAAAACTAGAGGGGATAGGTTTAAGGTGAGAGGAGAAAGGTTCAAAAGGGACCTAAGGAGCAACTTTTTCATGCAGAGGGTGGTAATTGTATGGAATGAGCTGCTAGAGGATGTGGTGGAGGCTGGTGCAATTACAACATTTAAAAGACATCTGGATGAGTATATGAATAGGAAGGGTTTAGAGGGATATGGGCCAAATGCTGGCAAATGGGACTAGATTAATTTAGGATATCTGGTCGGCATGGTCAGTTGTACCGAAGGGTCTGTTTCTGTGCTGTACAGCTCTATGACTGTATGATTATGGGTCTGAAAGGTGTTGTTTAAGAATCTTTGGTGAATGCCTGATAGATAGTACATAGTGCTGATACTGAGCGATGGTGGTGGAGGGAGTGGATACCTGTGGATGTGGTGCCATTCAAGTGGGCTGCTTTATCCTGGATGGTATCAAGCTTTTTATGTTGTTGGAGCTGCACCCATCCAGGCAAGTGGGAAAATTTCCATTGCCCTCCTGACTTGTGCCTTATTGGACAGGCTTTGGGGAGTCAATTGGTGAGTTACTTGCCACAGTTTTCCTAACTTTTGACCTGCTCTTGTAGCCAATGTACTTATGTGGTGAGTCAAGTTATGATTCTGGTCAGTGGTAGCCCCAGGATATTGATTGCGGGGATTCAGTGTTGGTGACACCATTGAATATCAAAGAGTGGTGATTAGATTGTCTCTTATTAGTGATGGTCATCTCCTGGCATTTGTGTGGCATGGATGTTGCTTGCCAGTAGTGAATCCAAAACCTGGATGTTGTTCAGATCTTGTTGCATTTGAACATGGACTGCTTCAGTATCTGAGGAGTCACAGTGCTGAACATTGTGCAATCATCAGCAAGAATTCCATCCTCTGACCTGTGATGGAGGGAAAGTCATTAATGAAGCAGCTGAAGATGGTTGGGCCTAGGACATTATCCCGAGGAACTCCTACAGACGTATTGTGGAGCTGAGATCATTGATGTCCAACAACCATTCTGAGTACTCCTCTCTCTGAGCCTGGGGCAGGTTATTTCTGTAGCTAAGTTATTTTCTCTGTGTCAGTAAATTGTCTGAACTCTTTTGGTCAGTGGCCATGAAACAGCTGTTCATCTTGTCAGATGATCATTGTCCCCTTGCCAGCCCTCATCTGCAGGTTAGTTTACCAGTCTTTCCAAGCTTATTTTCAAACTCAACACATTGATAAAAGGGTGCATTTGGCACCAGATGAATTGTTAATGCTTGTTCACTGTCATTGTGACCTTTGTGTTTTTTGTAATTTTCCTCTTTGTTTTCATGTGCTAGAATTTTCAAAAGTTATGTAGTGCTGTAATAATTTTTAAATGAAATCTCAGGCTACACAGTAAATACAAGGAAAATGCAGTTTTTAAAGGACCCTAACATTCAACAAAGTCAATAGTTAAATTTAATTTATTCTTTAATAGGAAATTTTGGAAGAGTACAATGAATTCAAAGCTAATATGAAACTGGTGCTATTTGACGATGCTCTGGAACACTTGACCCGTGTTCATCGCATTATCAGGATGGACCGTGGCCATGCCCTGCTTGTAGGTGTTGGTGGATCAGGCAAGCAGTCTCTTACTAAACTGGCAACATTCACAGCTAATTGTGAGGTAAGCTGCTATAATCCCTACATAACATGGAGCTCACATTGTACTCAATGTCGTTAGACTGGAACCTGTATAAGGTGTTGCTACATAAAGACTGAGGGAAGAGTGAGCACTTCCACAGGGAATGCAGACCTGACGAACTCTGCGGCATGGTGGCTCAGTGGTTAGCATTGCTGCCTCACAGTGCCAGGGACCCGGTTTCAATTCCACCCTTGGGTGACTGTCTGTGCGGAGTTTGCACATTCTCCTCATGTCTGTGCGGGTTTTCTCTGGGTGCTCCAGTTTCCTTCCACAGTCCAAAGATGTGCAGGGTAGGTGGATTGGCCATGCTAAATTGTCCCGTAGTGTTTAGAGATGTGTAGCTTAGGTGGGTTATAGGGTGATGGGTCTGGGTGGGATGCTGCAAGAGTCGGTGTGGACTTGTTGGGCCGAAGGGCCTGTTTCCACACTGTAGAAATTCTGTGAATTAAAAAAAAATGAATTTCTGTTTTGTTCATTACAGATTTTTGAGATTGTGCTGAGTCGTGGTTATGGGGAAACTAATTTACGGGATGATTTGAAGGCCCTGTATCTGAAACTAGGTATCGAGAACAAGCCAACAGTCTTTCTCTTTACGGATGCACACGTGGCGGAAGAAGGATTCTTGGAGCTGATAAATAACATGTTAACTTCAGGTAAGCCAAGAACACACTGATTAACACATATAAATGGCTGAAATACCCTTGAGTGGCTTTATAGATTCAAATAGCTGGTGTCTTGTTAACATGGAGGGGGGTCACTTAGCTTGGTTGTCTAGGTGGCTGGTTTGCAATATAGAGCACTGCCAACAGTGTTATTTCACTTCCTGCACAGGCTGAAATTACCATGAAGGTTCTGCCTTCTCAACCTCTTCCTTTGCATGAGGCATGGTGACCCTCAGGTTAAACCACCACCAGTCATCTGTCTCTAATGAGAGAGCAGGCTTATTGTCCTCTGGGATTACAGCAATTTTACCTTTACCGCATGTTGTCAATATCACAGTTAGAGGAAATTTAGTAACTTCATGAAGCTATTCACTTTTATTTTGTTTCTATTTTGTATCTCAGTTAGAAACATGTATGGTTGCAAATCAGATCTTAAATATTAGAGTTCAGGGTTGCCATAGCTAATGGAACAGGAGAATTGATAATTACTGAAACTGTTTTCTAAGTTGTTTGAAATATTTAATACATTCTTAAACACATGCAGTGAAGCTCCAATGAAACTATGTTTATCCCAAATAGATAGTGTTGCCATGAATTTCCCTCTGGGTCAAGATCACATCAACATTTGTATCAGTTTCCACAAGAATCGTGGTTTCATTCAAATAATGCTTAGCTGGGGATCAAAAGATTTTGTGGGCTCCTCTTGAGATGTTCTGGAGGACATTGGAACATAGAAAATTGGAACAGGAGCAAGCCATTCGGCCCTTCAAGCCTGGTCCCCCATTCAATATGATCTGACTGATTATTCAACTCAGTCCCCTGTTCCTCTTTCTCCCCATACCTGTTGATCCCGATAGTTCTAAGGACTTCTTCAAAACATTCATTGTTTTGGCCTCAGCTGCTTTTTGTTGCAGGGAATTCCACAGCCTCATTGCTCTCTAGGTGAAGATATTTCTCCTCATCTCAGTCCTAAGTAATCTACTCCATTTCTGTAGGCTGTAATCCCTGGTTCTGGACTCCCTGGTCATCGGGAACATCCTTGCTGCATTTGCCTTGTCTAGTCCTGTTAGAATTTTATAGGTTTCTATGAGAACCACCCCCGACCCCGCTCCTCACTATTCTAAATTCCAGTGAATATAGTCCTAACTGATCCAGTCTGTGTTCATACATCAGTTGTACTATCCCGGGAATCAGTCTGCTTTTCAGTTTCCAGGAACTCCTTTTTCATTCTCGCTGACTCATTTAGTGATTGATGCAGTGACAAGGTATCAAGATTTTACGTACTTGTGTTGACAAATGGGGGATTTGAGAGAAGCAGAATTAGGAGAATTCAACAATTTATTTGGAGTCACGGCTGCTTGCTTGCTACACATGTAATGTCTTGCTGAGTACATTGCTGGCGACTGTTGTGGCCAGACTGAGGATTACTGACCAGCAATGCAATCTGCCTGGTTGTGTGACTGCATTAATTGGCAAGACAAGGCAAGGCAAGGATGAACATGTGGCTAGGCACTAAGTAAGGAGCACTAAGAGAATAAGCGAACAGCTCTGAGGTGCAGATAACAAGGTGTAGAGCTGGATGAACACAGCAGGCCAAGCAGCATCAGAGTAGCAGGAAAGCTGACGTTTCGGGCCTGGACCCTTCTTGGTCCAGTTTGTAAGCTGGATGCCTGTCCCTGCATGCAGAGCTCTTCAATGCTAGATGCTGATATACCCTACAATGCAGGTCTGTGCTTGCTAACCATTTTGCAATTGAATGAGAGATGTGCCATGAGGATCCTGAGGGATTGGCTGGGTGTATGTAGCTGTTGCCTGTGGATTATGCCCTGAGATGTTGTTTGGTGCTGAGCAACGTAGACACTCCTGACAGCCAGCAGTGAGCTGAAGTTGCCAGGTACCCACTCTGACTTCCATATCGAGCATTCTCAGTGTCTGGTCAGGTCGTGGCAGGTGATAGGATGGGAAACTGCATATTAATGAGGTGAGGTGTGCAATTAATAAGGTCATTGATAAGCAATAATCCCCTAAATAGGTAACTCACCATTGCCCAGGGAGAAACTCACCTTGATAGCCAGAAATAGATCTCGCTTAATGGGACTTTGCCAAATTTTTCGCCAGAGCCACTTTATTTACAGCCCTATAAGGTTTTGCCTATAATGTCCCATATAAACAGGGCTGTTGTAGTACAGTGGTAATGTCCATGCTTCTGAGCCAGGAGGCCTGAGTTCAAGTCCCACCTGTCCCAGATGTGTGTCCCAACATATTGATTAAAGGATAACTATAATATCCATTACCCATCCAATGTGATTAGATGGTAATTACTCAACAATGTTGTCATATGCAATGAATTACACTAATGACCAAATTAAGATTATCAGTTTGGCTTACTGCTTGTTAGGGGAAGCAATGGCTTAGTGGTGTTATTTTTGGACTGTTAATGCAGAGATCCAGATAATCTTCTGGGGACCCTGGTTCACATCTCACCACAGCAGATGGTGGAATTTGAATTCAATAAAATATTTGGAATCAAGAATCTAATGATGACCATGAACCAATTGTTGATTGTCAGGAAAAACCCATCTGGTACCCTCTGGGCAATTAGGGATGGGCAATAAATGCTGCCTGGTCAGCGATGCCCTCATCCTGCGAATGAATAAAAAAAATGCTACATACATTCATGCACAGGGTCCTGGTCTCTCAAATTTCTGAATCAAGCAAAAGCCGGCAGACAGCCATTTCCTGGTGCATTCACCACGGCACTGCCTCAACCGATCAAAGTTGACTTGCTAATCAATCAGTAGCCTTTGTCTCATGGAGTATAAATTGTTGCTCCTTTTGCAATTTGGCATTCATACATCTGTCCTGATATGTGCAAGATGCAAAGCTTTGACAGCATGTCTCTGTTTCTAGCAATAATGGCCTTGTTCAACTAGTTTTCAAATTGAGTATAACCCTTTTTAAATTGTCTACATCTTTGACTTTTCATTTGAATAGTGGCACCAGTTAGATTTCTATTAAAATAATTGATACTTCACTGTTATCACTGAAAGTCCAACTAGATATATGGGCTTTTCAGTGACAGGAAAAGAAATAGATGTGGTGATATCTTTAACCTCTCTCATGATCCTGCTCGTGGTTTGCACCATCAGGAAAACCAAAACAATCCAAATTCTTTGACTATTCAAACTATAGTAAAGCATTGCAGCATTTTAACCTTTGTAACTGGCTTGGTGGATAGCTTTTACGATGTTTGTTTGATACTTGGGGATTGAGATCTTTTTGTGTAATAGGGAGATCTTTTTGTGTAATAGGGAGAAAGCTAACCTTTCTCAACATTTTGGTATAGCACTGGTGAAGGACAGTGTGTGTTTATCGAATTTTCCTAAGGTGTAATAGAGGTTATTAGCATGAAAACACAGCAATGGGATTTATTTTTTAAATATTCTTTTCCAGGAATTGTCCCAGCACTTTTTCCAGATGAGGAGAAGGAGTCCATTTTAGGACAGATAAGAGATGAAGCTATGAAAGCTGGTGCTAGTCCAGCGAAAGAGAGTATTTGGCAGTATTTTGTTAATAAGAGTGCCAATAACCTGCACATTGTTATGGGTATGTCACCTGTTGGTGAAACACTGCGGAGACGATGCAGAAACTTCCCAGGTCTGTGAAATTTGTTTCATTGTTTGGTCAGGACTTTATTTTGTAGTATGTATTTCGAGAACAGCTTTGGTATTGACATAACTAAATTGAGACATGATGATTATAGTTAACCTGCAATCAAAGGGGGCTGGTGTGGACATTGTTTAATTAACAGCATTTATTTCAGAGGAACTAACAAGATGAAATATACAATTCTTTCAGCGCCTGCCATTCAATAGATATGATGATCATTGGTGTGCTGAGTGTGAGGGTACGGGTGAGGAGATTGAGGATGGGGTAAGTGAGCGTGGTGAGACTGAGGATGGGAAGAGCTTGGGCAGGGGGAATGTTGGTGTGGAGAGAATGTGGCAGGGGGAATGAGGACAGGGGGCTGGAGAATGAGGGTGGGGGGAGAGTGTGGACGATTATGTGATGGAGTAATTAATCAAACAGGAGGGTGCAGACTCCACTCTGTCAACAGCTTTCCCAGCCACCACCAAATGAGGCCTTTAAATTGATGCTGAATGGAGTGCCTGCTCCTTCGTGTGCTGCTGGTATTAAACCAGGCCCGGGAGAAGGAGTTCGCCAGGCTAACCATGACACTGCCACAGGCTGCTGGTGGTGGGGGGTGGCGAGGGGAAGCAGAGGATTTCTCTCCCTCCAGGACAATCAGTGTCTGATTGAAGGATCTGGTAACAGGAAGGTGAAGTTCCATTCCACTGGCTTATGGTGACCCTCTTCCCTACAATCCTCTGTCTGTCGTTATTCATGTCGGCCGGGGGCAAACCCTCCACCCATTCAAATACAGGGAGGCGATGGCCTAGTGGTATTATTGCTGGACTGTTAATCCAGAGACCCAGATAATGTTTCTGACAGGCGCAATTTCAACCCCAGGGTCCTTTATCCTCTGGGAAAGACCTGCTGAGTACCAGAATGGAATGGCACAAGATGTGGTGAATCTTCCTAAATAAAGGTAACATAGGACTGGAGACAGAGAGGCCTGTTTTCTCTGCAACATTGCAACCAAAATCTTTTTCAGCTGTGGATAATTCATTACATGGTTACATAGAGGCTGTGTTATTAGAATAATAAAGGCTCAGAATGTCTAGAGACCTTGAGTTTGCATGACATTTTGGCATTTTGAGAATTTGAATTGACTTTTTTCATTAAATCTGGATATAAGGAAATCTGACTGAAGTTAAAAACTCAACTGGTTAATTAATCTTCCTTCAGAGAAGCAAACCTGCTGTCCTTACCCAGACTGAGTATATATATTACCCTAGTCCCACACTAGCATTTTCGCTGTCTTTTGAAGTATCTTTGCGTATAGGACTTCAAAAAGACTCAGCAATATTAATGCCCAACTCCCAATTCCCAGGAACGGATTTAGAAAAACAGCTAACAAAGATTGTTTGGTTTCCAGACTGGGACTTTAAGCTCTCAGTGATTACTTCTGTTTGCATCTAGATATCTTATTGCCATTTGATTTCATATTTATTAAATGTCTCAAAACTTTAACAGCAGAATATTCAGTTTATGATCACTATAATTGGTTTTACCTTGATATTCACATGTTCCTGCAGGCAGTCTGAGTCACCGATCTTGTTCTAGAAATCAAATGTGCAATTCTTTTAATTGAAAGAGATTTCTTTGTTTCAGGTCTGGTGAATAACACTGGGATCGACTGGTTTTTACCTTGGCCTCCCCAGGCTCTGCTTGCAGTTGCACAGTCATTCCTAGGTGAGGAGGAACACTTTGCTAATCGACTGAAATGACATATACTGGGTTGGATTTTTAAAGCAGAGTCAGATGAATTCCAGGTTAGGGCTAGGGTTAGGACCAACCTCATGTCTGAACTATGTTGCTCTCAGAGCACTATTTTTAAAGTTAAATGGGCTGGTTGGGCGGTAGTAGATGAGTTTAGCGGTTGGTTATAAATATCCTGCATCTCCAGAAAACAGGAGCTACCTGTCTGGCACCAGCCTCAAAAGCAGACAGCAGCGATTCTGCTCAGGCAGGGTCTAGGAGGATAAAGAGAGCACACCATGGCCATGGACACCAGATTGAGGTGTAATACTAAACCTGTACCTAATTGGCTCTTCAAATGTTAACAAAACACACTGACAGAAACTGTTATATTGGTGTTTCCTTTGGAACCAGGAATTATATACCAGAGACACAACTGGTAATCTGAACAGCAACACTTTATTAAAGATGCTCACACCTCCACAACTGGTTCTAGACTGAACCCACGCTCTGCAGCCCCCCAGGTCACCTGACAAGCTCTCATAAAGAGACAGCACCCCCAACTGCATACATAATAGAAACAAATTTTATTCTACCCGATAGGAGCCCTGTCAAGCTCCAAATTACTTGACTTTGACCAGAGTAGAGTTTGAAAATCCCACCCAGTTCCAAACATTCCCTTAAAATTTCATTAATTTGTAAAAGGAGATGTTAGTTGGCAGCAAGTGGCTTTTCTATAACCTCCCCCAACCCCCGCAAGGGCTTTAAAAATTGCAAAAGCTTTCAGGTGGCAGGGTGCAGTTCCATCCTGTGGAAAAGAAACTGGTAAATCTTGGCCACAGCTGTTCCTGCCTCCACGAGCAATTGAAACCGCAACCCACTGTTGCTTCTGCATGAACCATACATTGGTCAAGTCAATACAATATTCATTAATGATCTCATCTTGTTTGTGTCAAGTTAGCTAAGTAGTACATGTTCTTAAAGCCATAGATTCATACAAGGGCTTTTTGCATTTGCTATCCATTGCAATGCCAGCTGTGCTGTTGAGACTGAAGTAACCATAAAGGTTAGATACTTGCTAATGATCATTTAATTGTTATTCTTCATTACAGGAAAGAATCCAATGATTCCTAGTGAACAGTTTGAGAATGTGATAGACCATGTAGTTACTGTCCATGGATCTGTCGAAGAGTACAGCCTGCTGTTCCTGCAGAAGCTAAGGCGCAGCAATTATGTCACTCCAAAAAACTACCTGGACTTCATCCATACGTATGCTAGATTACTGGATGAGAAAGATCAATTTATTTTGGGTAGGGGATTATTTTTTGATGAAAGAAGGAATACTCAGACTAGATGTTTGAGGAAATTTGGTCATAAAGAAAACAATCAGAAAGTAGGGAGGCATGGGATGCAGGGAAATTTGGCTGTCTGGATACAAAACTGGCTGTCCAATAGAAGACAGAGGGTAGTAGTAACTGGAAAGTACTCAGTCTGGAGCTCGATGACCAGTGGTGTTCCGCAGGGATCAGTTCTGGGACCTCTGCTCTTTTGTGATCTTTATAAATAACTTGGATGAGGAAGTGGAAGGGTGGGATAGTACGTTTGCTGATGACACGAAGGTTGGTGGAGTTGTGGACAGCGTGGAGGGCTGTTGTAGGTTGCAACGGGACATTGACAGGATGCAGAGCTGGCAAAGAAGTGGCAGATGGAATTCAACCCAGAAAAGTGTGAAGTGATTCATTTTGGAAGATCGAATTTGAATGCAGAATACAGGGTTAATGACAGGATTCTCGGCAGTGTGGAGGAACAGAGGGATCTTGGGGTCCACATCCATAGATCCCTCAAAGTTGCTGCCCAGGTTGATAGGGTTGTAAAGAAGGCGTATGGTGTGTTGGCTTTCATTGGCAGGGGAATTGAGTTTAAGAGCCGTGAGGTTATGCTGCAGCTCTATAAAACTCTGGTGAGACCACACTTGGAATATTGTGTTCAGTTCTGGTCATCTCATTATAGGAAAGATGTGGAGGCTTTAGAGAGGGTTCAGAGGAGATTTACCAGGATGCCGCCTGGACTGGAGGGCAGGTCTTATGAGGAAAGGTTGAGGGAGCTATGGCTTTTTTCATTGGAGCGAAGAAGGATGAGAGGTGACTTGATAGAGGTTTACAAGATGATGAGAGGCATAGATAGAGTGGATAGTCAGAGACTTTTTCCCAGGACGGACATGACTATTATGAGGGGGCATAATTTTAAGGTGATTGGAGGAAGGTATAGGGGAGATGTCAGAGGTAGGTTCTTCACACAGAGAGTGGCGGGCGTGTGGAATGCGCTGCCGGCAGTGGTAGTGCAGTCAGATACTTTAAAGGCTTTAAGCGACTCTTGGATAGGCACTTGGAGGATAGTAAAATGTAGGGTATGCAGGGTAGATTGATCTTAGTAGGATAATAGGTCAGCACAACATCGTGGGCCGAAGGGCCTGTACTGTTATGTGTTCTATGTTCTAACTAATTCTTTTTAAAGAAGTTGGTTGAAAAGATTTGATAGAAATTTCCCAAATTATGAGGAACCTGGACAAAGTAGGTAGGAAGAAACTGTTTCCACTCATAAAAAGATCAAGAATCATCGGTCAAAGTTTTAAAGTGTTTTGCAAAGGAAAGAAATGCAAGGCGAAAAAACTCTCTTTCACACAGTGAGTGGTCCAGGTTTGGAATGCACTGCCTGGAAGTGTGGTGGAGGCAGGTACAATTGAGGCATTCAAGAAAGTATTGGATGCTTATTTTAATAGAAACAACTTATAGAATTATGAGGGAAAGACAGGAGATTGACACTAAGAAAAAATGTTCAGAGAACTGGTGTAGTCACAATGGGCCATAAGATCCTTCTATTCTGTAATAATTGATTCGTGCCAATATTTATTCTTAACTATAAATTTGCTTACAAGATATGGACATTTGTTTAATTATGCTAATGTTTAATCAAGCTATGGAGAAAACATCATAATTTCCATTTGGTATCTTGTACAGCAATAACTTGCTTTGCTACAGAATCGTTAATACAGAAATATATCTCTGGCGCTTCACAGCCAGAAACAGATGCTGAATCAGAGATCAGGGAGGGCTGTGGTGGTGATGGGGAGAGGTGTGCAGTGGTAATCAAAAAGTGATTAACATTGTGAGTTTTAAGGAAGACTTGAAGTTGAGTTCTCCAGGAGTTGATGATGGGACTGTTGCTTTTCCTAATATATATTAATTATCTAGACTTTAGTGCACAAGGGCCAATTTCCATGTTTGTGTTTAACCCTGGTAAGTGTGAGGTGATGCACTTTGGAAGGAGTTACAAGACAGGGAAGTACACAATGAATGGCAGGACACTGGAGCTCAGAGAAACAGAGGATCTTAAGGTGCTTGTCCAAAAATCCCTGAAGATGGCAGGACAAGTTGATAGAGTGGATAAGAAACCAGACAGCATGCATGCCTTTATCAGTCGAGAGCAGGGAGATTTGTTGGAGATGTATACAAGTTTGGTTAGGCCACAGATGGTGTACTATATGCTTTCTGGTCTCTGCACTACAAGAAGGATGTGATTGTACTGGAGGGAGTGCAGAGGAGATTCACCAGGATTAACACAGTGTGGAGCCGGAGGAACACAGCAGTCAGGCAGCATCAGAGGAGCAGGAAAGTTGACATTTTAGGTCTGGACCTTCTTCAGAAGTGGGGAGGAGAAAGGGAGCTGGAAAATAAATAGATGGCTGGGGGAAGATAGGTGGGATGGTGATAGGTGGATGCAGGTAGGAGGTGGTGGGGATTGGTCAGTGGGAAGGATGGGCTGGATAGGTTGGAGAGAAGTTGTACAGGCTGTGTCAGGTCAAGAAGGCAAGAGGGAGGAGGGGTGGGGCTGGAGGAGGGGAGGTGGAATAGTGATAGGTGGATGCAGGTAGGGGGTGGTAGGGATTGGTCAGTGGGAAGGGTGGGGTGGATAGCTGGGGAATAAGAGGGCAGGTAGTGTCAGGTCAAGGAGGTGGGGATGAGAGGGAGGGTTGGACGTGGGCTCCCGAGGTGGAATATGAGGTGTTGCTCCTCCAGTTTACGTGTGGTGTCACTGTGGCACTGGAGGAGGCCCAGGATGATGGACATGTCATCAAGGGAGTGAGAGGGGGTGATAAGATGGTTAACAACTGGAAGGTGTCATTGATTATTGCATGCAGAGCACGGACACTCCATGAAATGGTCCCTGAGTCTGCACTTGGTCTCACCGATGTAGAGGAGGCCACATTGGGAACAATGGATACAGTAGATGAAGCGTTCTGATGAAGGGTCTAGGCCTGAAACGTCAGCCTTTCTGCTCCTATGATGCTGCTTGGCCTGCTGTGTTCATCCAGCTCTGCACCTTGTTGTCAATGGATACAGTAGACCAAGTTGGCGGATGTATAGGTGATCCCCTGTCAGACGTGGAAGGTTTGCTTTGGGCCTGGGATGGGGGTGAGGGGGGAGGTGTAGGGGCAGGTGTATCACTTCCTGCGGTTGCAGGGAAAGGTGCCGGGTGCGGTGGGGTTAGTGGGGAGTGTGGAGTGGAAGAGGGAGTCACTGAGTGAGAGGTCCCTATGAAAGGCAGATAGGGGTGGGAAGGGAAATATCTCTTATCAATATCAATATATATCAATATCAGATTGCTGTCTCCTAGATTCACCAGGATGTTGCCTGGAATGGAGCAGTTTAGCTCTGAAGAAAGACTGGATAAGCTTGGAGATAGTAGGAACTGCCGATACTGGAGTCTGAGATAACAAGGTGTAGAGCTGGCTGAACACAGCAGGCCAGGCAACATCAGAGGAGCAGGAAAACTGACGTTTCGGGTCTGGACCCTTCTTCAGAGATGTTTTCTTCAGAGCAGAGAAGGCTGAGGGAGTACTAGATAGAGGTGTAAACAATTATGAAGGGCATGGACAAGGTGGATAGAAAGTAGGTGTTTCCCTTAGTCGAAGGGTTAGTAACAAGGGAGCATAATTTTAAAGTGAAAGGCAGGAGGGGTGGTGGATGTCTGGAATGCACAGCCTGGGAGAGTATTTGAGGCAGGTAACCTTACAACCTTTAAGAAGTACTTGGATGAACACTTGTAATGCCACAACATTCAAGGCATTGCACCTAGTACTGGAAGATGGAACTAGAGTAAATTTTTAGTGTAGCTTTACAGGTTCAGACTTGATGGGCTAAATGGCCTTTTCTGTTCTGTGATAACAAGGTGTAGAGCTGGATGAACACAGCAGGCCAAGCAGCATCAGAGGAGCAGGAAAGCTGACGTTTTGGGTCTGGACACTTCTTCAGAAATGAAGAAGTGTCTGTTTCTGTTCTGTATTGTTCAATGATTGAAAGCATTATAAACTATAAGAGGACCGCATAGAACTTCAAAAGGACATTGACTAGTTGGTGGAGTGGGTGGATAGATGGAAATTAATTTTTAAAAATTTATTCATGGGATGTGAGCATCATTGGCTGGGCCAGTATTTATTGCACTAGTTGCCCTTGAGAAGGTAGGGGTGAGCTGTGTTCATAGACCACTGCAGTCCATATGTTATAGGTGGATCCACATTCAGGATCCTACATGTTTCAATCAAGTCATCCCTCATTTGTTTAAAATTAAGTGGAAATAAGTCCAGGCTGTTCAGCTTTTCCTCGTAAAACAACTCGCTCATTCCAGGTATCAATTCAGTAAACCTTATGTGAACTGCCTCCACCTTGGTTACATCCTTGCCTAAATAAGGAGACCACACCATACATAGTACTCCAGATGTTGTCTCACCAATGACCTGTATGACTGTTTATGTTCAATTCCTGTTGTAATAAAGAATAACATGCTATTCACCTTCCTGATTACGTTGTACTTGCATACTAACTTTTAGTGGTTAATGTGCTAGAACACTTAGACCTCTTTGCACCTCAAATTTCTGCGGTCGTTCACCATTTAGGTGATACTCCGCTTTTATATTTGTCCTGCCAAAGTGAATAACTTAATATTTTCCAATATTTTACTCCATCTGTCAGATATTTTAGCCACTCATTGAACTTATCGATATCCACCTGCAATTTCCTGTTTCGTTTGCAATGGTCCTGACCTTGTGTCCCAACTGCGTCACTCAGGCAGCACTTTCTGCTGGAACTGAGCCCTCAGGGAGGTGGGAGCCATTTGCAGGGTGCAAGTGGCAAATGCTGACAGCAGCCATGAACTTGGAAAGCCAGCAGCAGCAAAGCTCGCGAAAGTGAGTGAACAGCCAAATAAGAACTAATGTGTTCTAATCTAATTCCAGATGCCCATCATTCCAAAGCTTTTTTCATTAAAACATCAAAAATGTTCACTTCTCCTAGTTTTGAATCTGACAGCTGTGCACTCACATGCATCAGACTTTTCAGTTTTGCTGAATTCACATTTGAAGATTACAATCTTGTTTTCCCCACTCAATAACAAGTTCCTCAAGGTTCTTAATGAGCCGGCAATCAGATTCCAACTTCTCACCTCCCGCCCTCTCTTTGAAAATTGAAACAAGTCCTGAAGCCATCGGGAGTTGAGAAACCTTCTGTAATGTAATCTTTAAATTTTGTGGCAGTACCTGTTTCTGATTCTGCCAATGGTGGAAGATTTGACTTAAGATGTGTGAATGGTTGACACCAATTGACTAAAATTAATTCTCCTTTTCTGTATCCTCACAGCTCAATGTAAGCGTTTGGAGGGAGGATTGGATAAGCTAAAGGAAGCCAGTATTCAGCTAGCAGAGTTAAACTTGAAACTTGCAGAACAAAAGATTATATTGGCAGAGAAAACAGAAGCCTGTGAAGCTCTATTGGCAGAAATTTCAATCAACACTGCTGTGGGTAAGGACACCTGAGCTGGAAGATGCTGGATACATCCTGAGTTATTAACTGTTAGTACCTCAAGAATTACAGGTAATACTAATTCATCAGCAAAGATGGGATAATTTACAAACACTAACGAGCAGGAGATGACCGAGTGATCCACCAAGTCTGCTCAATAAACTCTTAAATAATATTCACAACTCTCCTCTCATTTCTCTGCATTGCTCCTGTGCTTCCTCTTGAAGTTATAAAGGTGCACAAGAGGATTCCATACCTTCAGTGTAATGAGATATATATTTCAGTAATTGCTTTTTTTTTAATCAGAGTGACCTAGAAATTCCTCTGAATGGTTCAGTCCGGGTTCTGAAATTGCAGGAATGGCACCCAACATGTATGGAGCAGCAGGGAACGAGCATGCCGTACACATGCATGTGTGCGTGCACGAACATGCATTCACACACTGGGGCTATATCTGTAAAGGGTGTCTAGGGGAACCTCACCGTTTTCTCGTCTGATTTATCTGGAATTTCTTGAAGTGAGCAGTTGTGGTATCTTAGTCTTAATTAGTGACAGGAGGAGGCCAGGCAGCTCCTTGAGTCTATGTTATCACTCAATGGATCATGGCAGATTTAAATCAAGACTCAGTGTACCTGTCTCACTTGTGCATTTGCTACCAATGATTGTAGATGCTTAGTGAGTCACCTTTGGAATGACATATTGGTGTGTAAACCAGCTTTAAAATTACACTAAATACAATACCATGTGTAAATAAATGCAGATTTACAACTTCTTCCACATAACTTTTTCAGCTGAGGAGAAGAAGCAGCTTGCAGAAGAGAAAGCTTTTGAGATAGAGGAACAGAATAAGGTGATAGCAGTGGAAAAGCAGGATGCAGAAAATTCCTTGGCTGAAGCTTTGCCTGCTTTGGAGGCTGCCAGAGTAGCATTGCAGAGTTTGGATAAGTCTGATGTCACTGAGATCAGGTAATCCTGGATAAACAGCTCCTCTGATTTTACATTTCTGACTATTCTCTTCAACTCTGTCTGTGGTCTTGCTCTTCTCTTTCTCTGTTCTCTCCTCCAACCCTTCAACCATCTAAGTTATTTACGTTCCTGTATGGTGGCCTCTTGCATACCCTCAATTTTAATAGCATTGTTATTGGTAATTTGTGTCTGTACCTGCCTAGTCCCAAAGCTCCCCAACCCCTCCACATCTTTATTTGTCTTGCCTCTTCAAAGATGTTCCTGAGGTCCCCATCAGCTCAGACGCCAGTCTTTCCAGCCAATTTGAATCACTCCATCTATTAATAAAAAACTGAAGGCATGTGATACTGCAATGGGCCCAGATAACATCCCAACAAAATGTTGAAGACTACAGATCCAGTATTAGCCATGTCTCTAGCCAAGTTGTTACGGCACAGCTACAACAGTGGCATTGACCTGAAAATGTGGAAAATTTTCAGATATTTCCTGTCCGCAAAAAGCAGGACGAATCCAACCCAGCCTCTTACAGTATATCATTCTACACTCAATCATAAACAAAGTGAAGGAAGTTGTTGGCAGCAATGCTGTCAAGCAGCACTTGCTTAGCAATATCCTGCCCACTGATGCTCAATTTGGGTTCTGCCAGGGTCAGTTGACTACTGACTTTAATACAGCCCTGTTCCAAATGTGAACAAAAGAGCTGAACACTAGAGGGAAGGCAAAAGTGACTGCTCTTAACATTGAACCAGAGATAGTAGGAACTGCAGATGCTGGAGAATCCGAGACAACAAGGTGCAGGGCTGGATGAACACAGCAGGCCAAGCAGCATCATAGGAGCAGAGAGGCTGACGTTTCGGGCCTCGACCCTTCATCAGAAAAGGGGGAGGGGAAGGGGGTTTTGAAATAAATAGGGAGAGAGTGGGAGGCGGATAGAAGAGGGATAGAGGAGAGGATAGGTGGAGAGGAAACAAACAGGTCGAAGAGGCGGGGATGGGGCCAGGAAAGGTGAGTGTAGGTAGGGAGTTAGGAAGGGGATAGGTCAGTCCAGGGAGGACGGACAGGTCAAGGGGGCGGGATGAGGTTGGTCGGTAGGAGATGGAGGTG